GACACCTACTTTCGTACCGTGATGACATAAGTAATACCAAGAAGCATATCGCTTTCTTTTTTTTTTCCTTAATTTCCAGTGAAGGCCTTGAGGAAGCAACAAAGCATTAACATAATGGAATCGTATGAATATATGTATATACGTAACCGGAATTCACACCGTCAATCCACAAGTAGTCTAAACGAATTATTACGGTGATTAGTCGATTTCTAATTACATCGGAAGGTGAGATAAGCAGTATTAGTGGCCCGCGTTTCTCTCTCCTTCATGATCCGCTAATTCGTTTATCTGTCGTAAATCTTTTATCGTGTTAAACATTCCGATAAGAGCCACGAACTGCGAGTTATACCGTCAGAAATTTAGCAATAAAGCTGCCAGTGATCGATTTGCTTACGCCAGTGTAAATATTATAAATTTTAATTAAATTTCTAGTATCCAATTCAGTTCAGTCTAGTATTCATTTGTCCACTTGTAATACAATAATGAATTCATTCGGTTTTTTTTTTTACTTTTCTATTCAATTCTATAATATTACCATTATATGCTCAGTTACATAATCTAACTTTATAAAAATAAGTAGATGCATAAATTTATTTAATACAATGAATACAAATAGATTGGTTTTTCCAAGATTATTGTGATGATTCGACTATGGATTTTTTTATGGATAGGACAAGATATAATTAAACTTATTAAATGTTATAAAAAGCACTACACTTTGGTATATTATATTTTTTCATATTTCCATTATCATAGATTAGTATTATCATAGATTATATTTCATATATATTACGTACTATGTATTGTATCTGTTACACCTACACATCCTGTCGATTGATAACAAAGAAATAATTAAAACCACTGCAATGAGCAATATTTCAGCGGCTCTGTTACAGCATTTCAAAGTTTGAAGCGATAAAAAAGCAAGAATAATTTACGGAATATTAGTTTGAGCAGCTAATGGTAGACTGCTCTTAGTCCACGAAATTATTGCATTCGAGAGAATCGAAGTCAAGGTCTTTTGAACACCTGAATGATTCTGATAGCTTTTGGTGATGCATTTGAACGTCGAATTTATACGAACGAAAGTTTACGAGCTTAATTATCGTCGTGATTAGTTCGGCGTTTCTATCACAAGACGTCCTTGATGAAACGTACGTATGTACATGCAAAGACGATAACATCTCTCGATGAGAGATTGTCGTATAAGAGGTTAACGATAAGTAGGAGATCTCTAGACTCTCTCTCTCTTTCTCTCTCTTTAGCATAGATGGAAATTAGTGAAATTAAACATCCAGGAGAAAACATATTCCTAGTCTTACTTACTTTTGAATTAAACGAAAATTAAAACGAGACAAATCTTAACTCTCATCCATCTCTGTTAATTTGACATCAAAAGTTTTTCTTACAAAATGTAATATTTTTTTTTGCAAATAATACAGTCTATTTTTCTAACGTATAGCATGTACTTTTGACATTTCTGATAACAAAATTGCCGCGAGAGTTGCAAATATTCATTTTCAAGTTTGGTAGTTTATTTTAGTACATTATTTTCTAATAATTATACCACAGTATTAAGTTAAGTATTCAAAGCATCGTCTTTTCGAAGGAGTATAAACGTTTCTAGTTTCGAGCATAGTTCTAACAAATGAAAATCGAAACAAATGGTCATTAGAGAAAATAGAATCACATATAAAATTGAATTATTCACCATTTGCATGAATCTATACGTGATTGAATAGAAATGTAGTCTATTTGTTCGCAGTAAAATAATTTACAAATTTAACTATTTATCTAGACGTTCATTTTACCATTCTGTCAATTTGACGTCAAGGAACGAATCAAGTTGGAAAAATGAGTGATAGATGAGAATTAAAGGATTAAACAAACCCCTGATAATATTTAATTAATTACTAATAGTTCTCCTTTCTTTTTTTTACGTTTTATTCAATTCTTCTACTGTAATATTTCTGCTGGATATTTAATTATTGTTATTTCATTCTCGATATAATTCGTTGTTTATCATTTCAGACAATCTTCGTCAATTCTTTTTATTCTCTTTGAGTTTGAGTTGAATAGGAAATTATCGAAACAATTTTCAACCTATTCTATTCAACTAATTTTCATGCGACAAGGTACAGCCAGTTTGTTGTTACGTATATCTGCTCGTATATATATATGCACGTATACGTATTTATATACATATGACGACTTCGCATATATAACCAGAACGCAAATATTGATAGTTTGACTGCAATGATGTGCAGGTGATACCAGTTGGCTATAAACTTACGTCTATCAATTACTAAATACTTTCTTACTCCACCTTTTTCCATTCAAAATCCTCGTGATTCAAATTACCTCGTGATTTGTTAAACATTTAAAGCTGCAAATATCGTTTCATAAATTTGTGAGTGTTGAATGCGGAGTATATTGAAGAATCTTTTTTCAAAAATCAGATAAATAGGCACTAGAAATGATTCCAAAAAAATCTATATTTATCGGGGAAAATATCTAATAAAATATTTAATATATTTATTTGGTCATGAATTTAATTTATTATTTGGATCATAAAATTATATTTTATTCAATTAATTCATTGTCTTATTTATTGCTTTGGTGATTTAATTATTTATTGAAATGTATAATTTCTTGATTTAATCAATTGAGTTTGGTTCAGTTCACTTCAATTTCACCAGCTGGAAACTTGAAATTAAAATAAAAATTCAGTTCAAATATAATTCTCGTTTGTTGATTTATATTGTTATTTTCTTTAAAAATTTAAGCGGTATCAGGCTTTAACGCTATCAGGTTTTATCAGGCTCTACATTCCCTTCTCAAAATCGTTCTAATCAATAGGACAAAAAAATATTCCTAGATAATATGAAATTTACTGCACTCAGACTTAATTAATTCTATAATAAACACAGTCGTATGCAAGTGTTTCTTGCAGTCACTGAAATTATTTTAGAATACTCGTTTTTCAGGAAGCGAAGTGAAACGTTAACTGGCGAACGTCACACAACACCGAGGAGTCGTTTTCTCGTGGCACGCGATAGTTCGGTTCCCCTTTTCTTTTTTTTCTTTTCCTTTTCTCACTCATTTCTTTCGATATGAAAAATCACGTGTCGTCGAAGTCGGTACATCCTCAAATTACGTGGGCATTGCTCGATTTTTTTTCTGAACGTGCCAAATATTTCACGCAATATAATTGCATAAGTTCTGCGCGTCGCGCGTAGAATGCACGCGGAAACGCAGGTTCGATTGTCGATTTTTCTGCGGCTGGATCAGCCGGTTTGCCTTGCAACCTGTCTTTTACACACGGTGTACGAGTCACGTGCATTTTATTCACGCTGTTAGAAGTGCATCTTTGAAATCGTTCGCTTTACGACCCCATCACATATGTTCAGATCCTTGCTTCAACCTCTTCGAATACGATCTTTGAATAAAGTCGTCAGTCACCGAGTGCACACATGAAGTAGTTTACATACGTTAAATTTCAAATGTTTAAAGAAAAACAAAGATTTGAAACGTTTTATGTGTGTATTAAAATTTTGTGTATAAAATGTTAATATCTGCATGCAATATAGAAATATATATGTATAATTATACGTATGTCTCTGATTGAGACTTACTGGACTCAGAATACTAGAGAATTTATGTCTCGTTAACTGCTGGGATTTCTTGAATGAAATTGGTAATTGATTTTTAAGCAAGTGATAACAGGATTTGTGTAACGCGTTATTGATTGAACAAAATTGATAGGAACGGATGATAAACGATAACCTTTTCTTGCGTGAGACCTCTTCAATCGGCAAACATATTGTTTTGAAGCAGTGTAATTGGAACAATGTTCGAGCTTCGTTAGAAATTTCTTTGAAGAAAAAATTGAGATCTATACTTCTGCTCAAAAATTTGAGACGCATTGATTTTTTAAAAATATAATAAACATAATTTTTTTTTAAAATGATTTCATTACAATATTATATAATTTACAATTATAATTTAGCACTATGTTTTCAATATTCTTCTTATTGTTTTATTTTATTTTTATTCTTCATAATGAGATAAAATAAATTTTATTTGCAATTTTTATCGTTAGTAGAGCTAAATTTAAAGATCAAGTTATAATTGTAATATTCTTGTTTTGTAGGAAAGCAATTTTTTCTGTACGAAAAAGTTTGTGTGAAAGACGCTACAAATTTTGTACTGAAGTATACTGTCCGAATGTATTAAATACATAGAATTATACATATTATATATAATATTTCATTAATTTATTATTATAATTTACGTAAGATATGAAAGACTTGGTTAAAAGAGAGTGAAGATATCAAAGATTCGTCTTACTATTCAGCGGTAGAATATTAAAATGATGGAGGAAAGATTTTTATCTTAATGGAAGAATATCTGAATAGATACTTCATAGCAATTTCTGGCTTTGAAGTATTTTTTCATTCAGTTAAACACGTCTTTCAAGTATGTAGTTACGTTATCGTTGTTAAAAGTTTTATCGATACAAAAATAGACATACGTTATTCTTTTTTTTAACCTAGAAACAGTGTAAAATAAATACCAGTTCGAGCAAATATGCATCGAATATTTTTTCGTAAGTTGCATAATCTCGCCTTTCTTTTTCTATACAATTAAATTTTCACTAAATTAAAGCTGATGCTTTGAATTAAATATTTGGCTGAAATGAAATGGCAAGAAAAAATTGAAATTAAAATATATTGACACAATTCTGAAGAAAATCAATTCATATTTTGCGAAGAAGATCAGAAAATTGCAATAGGAATTAAACATGGGAAATAAAATCTATTCTTCGTATTTGGAAAGTATGTATGTTGATACAATTTTCAAGAAATTCGTTTCATATTTCGCGAAAAAGAAATGCCGCAGAATTATTTTCGAAGGTGTGAATTCGATTGAAGGAAAATTGTAAGATTAAAGTTTGAACATTCCCGCCTCTTCACGTCAGCCAGTCTAGCCAATGGATAAATTTAGATAACACACTGTGAACGGAATTGCAAACTAGTACAACGCAGCGTCGATTCGTGAAAGTTGCCGTGTAATCTATAGATCATCAGATTTCACACGCGCATGTACGATAATAAAAAATTATTTTCATCGAGTTTCGAACGTTTCGAAGAAGAATTTCTCTGTGAATTGACTGATGCGTGGACGTATAAACGTTTCGAAGGATATTTGATTGAAGAAGTATTACATAGCAGAAGGAGGATGGGAAAGTAAACTCAGGTGAAGAAATTCTCGGAGCGGTAAATTCAAACGTGGATGAATCCAAGATCGATTCAATCTCATCAACTTCACGCAATTGAAACGCAATTGAAGATGGAAGCGAATAATTTGTGAAAGAACATACTGAAATTAAAATACATAAAGACGATATACGATTGGCGATATACATATATAAGAAAGAACGTTGTTAAAATTAAGTCGAATCTTGTTTAAGAAGATTAAAAGACTTCCATCATTCGCTCGTGGCAACGAGGTTCTGAGATTGCTCATCTTTGTAAAATTGTTAAGAAAAATCAAGAGATTAAATATTACGTATGAAAATCAAATTAAATTTACAAAGGTCGGCGAAAGGACGTTATTGAAATTAAATTTCATCTTTTCTAAGACATTTCTCACGCGGATCACGTTTATTCGCGATAATAACGTTCTAACGTTCGCGCGTGATAAAATGTGATAACCTAGGTCGATGAATTTTTCATCGTTTGTCAACCAGTTTTGTATACGTTGCTACAAATATAGTCAGTAATTCGACGATACAAGTTATTTATAAAAAGTCAGCAAATAGAAGTAGATCTCCCTTGAAACTGACTGGTTCAGTCCTAATTCGATAAGTCTCCCGGCAAAAAAAAGATTGTGTCGAACATGTACAAAAGTCTTTCGAGTGTCTCGTGGAGTACATCCAACTTGTTAAAACCTTGGACGTTCGGTTGGATGAGGGCAAGGATGGGATCCTGCCAGAAAGACGTAGAAATGGTGGCACCTAAAGAGGAGGTGATCAGATTTATATCCGAGAGCCTGTGCAAGGTTGGAGTATCGTGCGAGGATGGCTATGTCGTCGGTCATCATTTGATGACCGCTGACTATCGTGGCCATTTTAGTCATGGGATGAACAGAATGTCAATGTACGTGCAGGATATTAAGGATGGGATGGCCGATCCATGCGCGAAGCCACAGATTGTTACCGATTATCAGGTGATTATGTTAGGCGATCGATACATCTTAGGGATCCCTGTTACGCGCGTGTTTAAATAGCATGCCACACGATATATCCATGTTTTTATCGTGTGTATAATTATAATGATAAAATATACGATACAAGTATATTAATTGTGCACAATCGGAATTTCGTTCACTTATCACAGAGAAAGATTCTTAGTTAATTGTTGTTATTTACACGAATTAGAATCCAGCAAGTCATTTGGTATTTTTGTTTTTAACAATAAATTGCATAACGGAGCAACAAGCGGCTAAAATTAAATTTTCGAAATGTGTAACTTTTATTTAACTTTTAAGTTGTACGTCGTAGAGGATTAGTACAATTTAATACGCAAGAACGTGAGAAATTTACGCGCATTAATCACACAGAATGAAACTTGCATATGCTAACACGTCTGCATATCATTTTCATATGATGTTAAAACGATATATATTAAACACTACACGGATAAGAACACGGATATATCGATTGTATTGTGTATTCTTCAATGCACGTTGAAAATCGTGTTTTTTCCGCATCGTGCTTTGACTTGATCAGCGTCTAAACTGAGATTGGAGGAGCGACGAGGTTTTAATTATTCGTTTGATCAATTGGAAGTATAGTTGTCACGCGGTCACTGAATGACAGAGAGAGATCACAGTGCATGGATACGTTTTATTACACTAATATTCTAACGAATAGGGAGACTAATAACTTCGAGAGATTACTATGATATCATCACGCGGTTATCTTTCGTGTGATTTATTCTATTCATCTTTTTTAGCCTTCTTAGAAATTACAGACAATTCCGACTGTGTCGTTTCTTTTTAAAAGGAAGACTGTAGTTGTAATTGAAGAATCATTTAAGAAACGGATAGTCTGAATCCAGCTTCTACCTGTTTACTTGTGGAAATGTATGTCTCTCGTTAAAATATTTCATGCGAAAATTACTCGATCTTTGTCTTGATCATGAATTTATATTGCTTCTGTTATTGCTTCGATTATTGAAAATTTAATTTCCGAGTTGTTGCTTGATGTCTTTTACGCGAACATATTAAACAGAACAATTATAATTTCGATTGCTAATGAAGATATCGTTGGAAAACAAAGCAGATAATTTCTAACGTACACTTATCTCGTGTTATAATACTTTAATCCCGTTTGAATAGATACGACAGCTTCTCAAGCTATATTAACTTCATGAATTGAAAAATAGTGAAAAATGTCTTAAGTCCGAATTAATCTTGTATCAAAAGCATTGAAAGCCTTGATTAATCTTGAATGTTCAACATTTTACAAATATATCTTTTAAATTTTGTGGTGAATGGATTTATAGAGGTAAATCATCTTTTCTGACAATTATACCAAATAACAGTAGTTTGTTATTCATCAGACTGTTATAAATACTTCAAATTTCCTTCAAATTTCATAAGATTATGGAATCTGGGAAACATAACGATGAAAAAGATATTACGTAAATATTGCTAGTATTAAACAACAGAATTTGACAATATAAATTGTTTGGAAAAAAATCATAAATGAAGTGTCACATTAACACGATGTCGATCCTCAAGAAATGGAATCTTCGAGAGACATAAATTCCATTGAAACCGGCACTTTCTTTACGTTCTCATTTCAAAATCCTGTGATATCTCTCTTAACCATGATGTATGGTTAAAAGTCATAGTAGCTTCAGCATAGTTGTTAACGTAAAACACATAAATTTCGACGTATTTAAGATATTTCCTTCACTTCGTCAATGGCTCGATCAACAACAATTTTCAGGCAGTAGCATTGGTCGACGGCAACAACGGCCTAGGCCAGGTGATCGGTAAATTCTGCATGGAACTAGCAATGAAGAAGGCTAAGAAATTCGGTATCGGGATGGTCTCAGCTCGTGGTTCCAATCATTACGGCATCTGCAGTTACTATGCGAAAATGGCCATCAAACAAGATCTCATAGGCTTCACCTGTACCAACACCAGCCCTTTAATGGCCCCGACTCGTAGCAAAGTGTCAGCTTTAGGCACGAATGCAATGGGTCTGGGAATGGGGGGATTAGACGACGATGAGTACCTGTTGGACATGGCCACGACAGGTGTTGCTTTGGGGAAGATCGAGCTGGCGATCAGAAAGAAGGAACCGATTCCCGAAGGCTGGGCGCTTGGAATGGACGGCAAAGTAACCACGGACGCCGAAGAAGCGTTCAAAGCTGCCCGTTTGTTGCCTCTTGGCGGAGTGGAGATAACTAGGGGCTACAAAGGTTATGGATTGAGCCTGATGGTCGAAGTTCTTTGTGGAATTCTATCTGGGAGTGAATTCGGTCCTAATATCAGACATTGGAAGACCAAGGAAAAGATTGCTAATCTTGGTCATTGCTTCATGGCCATAAATCCGCAAGTTTTTGGCTGTGGATCGAAGGAGAGATTGAGTCAGTTGTTGAAACAGCTGAGAAATTTGCCTGCCGTGGACAAGGACAAGCCTGTTTTGATTCCTGGGGATCCGGAGAACCAAGCGATGGAACGAGTGGATAGAGAGGGTGGCATTACGTATCATCCCAATCAGATAAAGGCGTGCGAAGAATTTGCAAAAGATATGGGAATTGAACCTTTGAAACTTGTTCCCAAAAATGTTACTTAGAGGTTAATTAGGAAGTTAGTTCTACTGAGTCTACTGAGTATTTGGATTTTTAAAGAGTTGTCTTTAAATGGATTTTAGTTGAATTTTTTAAACATATTTACATTTGCTGATTTGATAGACATTTATTCCGTGTTATCGATATTATGCGAGGGTGATTGGGTAATTATAAAATAACAAGAGAACTTTTCAGTCAAACGTGTGTTTTACAACATATCTGGTGGCATTTTTGTGTCAAGCTTCAGGTTTTTATTACATTATTAGAGAAAAATATCTTCTGTTAAGAAGACCGCCATGTATGCACTGCTTCCTTCAATTCTTTATTCTGTTTTATCTTCATGTGTGACACTTGTGACAACTTTTGAACTTACCTATCCACTTATCCGTCCACGTTATCGAAGAAAAACATTATTCTCATATTATATTGAGTACAACTATATAAATATATTTAGTATATTAAATATATAAATGTATATAATTGTGTTCAATTATTATAATCTATAGAAATATAAAATCTATTGTACTTAACAGAAAAGACACGAAACGAATGTATCATCGTCATCGATGCTTTCAGTTACACTTTGCACGTTCACTCCGTATCGTCGTAACGTAATTATTTATTATCCTAATCTCAGTGCAATCGATCGAATCTCGCCGACTAATAACACATTTTCTTTTCATAGAGTGTTTATACGAGACGAGTTCGCGTGTACGTTTCGTCAATTTAATGGAAACGATGCTCACGATGACATAACCATCCTTGTGGTCTCATTGTTGGTCGATGATGATGATGATGATGATGATGATGATGACGACGACGATGGCCTTGGACTTGCTCGCGTGTTCTCGATTGCACTCATTACCGATCGAAACGTGCGATTATCGGCATCGATTCACCGGTAGACAACAAACGAGACATTTGCATAATCGGTCGACGAAAGGTGGGAACGATCGATGGATGCTTACAGATTCATAGAATTGTACGCTTCGTTGGAGATCGTGGAGAAACGTAGAGAAACATTAGCTGAGGATCACGTGCATCTGCGTTAGTCGTAGAAGCGCGATCAAAGAAATTCGATCTTCCATCGCGAGCTTCGGCGATCACACGTCACTGCACGGCTGTGAAATCTCGTGACAGCGTGTAATTATTTTTCGCAAGGACGTGTTTAATACCACTAACCAAGATTAGCTTCGTTATTTTTCGACGCGGGGAATTTAGTTTGACGTATCCGATGAACGCGGCTGACACAGATATCCAAATGATTAAAGTCGAGCTATTCGATTTCAAATTTATTAGTGGAAATAGTCCTTCAAGTTCATATGTCTGTTTTTATTGACTCATTTGTATACTTTTTTTTTTTGTACAATTTTTCGACGCAACAATTAATATTCTCGTTAAAAAATAACGAAAGCTTACAACCATCAGAAACGGTTAATTAAACGATTCTTTCTCTTTCACGATTTCGTAAACAGGGGTTATCGCGAAGACTCCGCAGACTCTGAGTCTGCTTCGATCCAGTGTTATCATTGGTTTGTTATTAAAAGAGAGAACGTACGAGCGTAATTAATTTGCCACCATGATAATTTTTACAAAGTCCTTTGTACTCCGATTATCGCAGATTGAAAACTCATCATTTGATTTATTACATGTTCGGTTTAGGTAATGTACTTTCTCTCTTCGTGATAAAAGAAGAAACTTATTTTCTCCTGTGTTAGAGCAATTATATTATACTTTTATAATTTTCTACAAAGATAATTCCTTCGACGAAACAGTCAAGAGATAATTGAAATTTGTATTCCATCCTACCAGTTGCAAACCTTTATGTTTATTCGTATCACGTAGAAATGTCGAATAGAAATTTCATCATTGCACGCGTTTGTAAACTGCACTTTTCATGTGTTTTGTTGTCACGACGTGACTTGGATCGAGATCTGTGCCAAATCGAAGAGGGATAAAGATCATTAACCCTCGTTGGGTTGTGGTTATTGGGTTCGATAGTACTTTAAATAATTTTTGTTGCCTAATTTAATTTATTCACGGCACTTTTTAATTTTCAGTCTGTATTTTACCAGACGAAGATCGTTAGTATAAAATGTAATGTAGAAAATATAAATTTGAATCGAATAATTTAATTTAAATTGATTCGATAGTGTTGATTCAATTCTTCTTGGAGTTTGGTTGTTTAAAACAGTTTTTTAATTTTATCAAATACTAAAGAGTAAAATGTTGGATTTGAGTTCAAGTGGAACTTGATCTAAATTGACCCAACAATACTAACGAGCTAGAAGATGTCTCACCTTTTCTGATGTATACGTTGATATATTCTTCAATCTACCCCCGAAATATTAAAATAACCGGAAATACAGGAATTTATATCGCGTTTAATTTGTTTAGTTAATAACTTTCTCTTTCTCGTCTATTTATTTTAATCTGTTTTTTCAATTTCGATCATCTCGCATTTTATTAAAGTAGAATTTCTGTGCGATTTGGCACTTCTTCCACCACAGAAAAAAAATTCGTGTCCAGAAGAAAGATAAATCAAGATCGACGTTGCTCAGAAATAGTTGATTTTTCGAGGATACGGGAATAACGTGTTTTGTACGACGAGCGTAGAAAGAGTTCAAAAGTTATCGGCGCGCTTTGTTTATTGCCACGGTTATCGAGCAGGCCGCGAAAGCGTGCTCCGGCTATCTTAGTCTTTTTCTTCCTTTCTTTCTTACCACGATAACGCGCGAGCGAATCCGCGAAGGGACTTTTTTCTTCGGGGAAATAATCACTGTGAAAAAACATCGAACTCACGTACGATTATACAAGAGAAAATACGCGATAACGGTCGTAAATCGTATATAGGTGACTCATGTGATATTTCCTTTCCAAAGAAGTAGAAACGTAGATACATTGTCGGGCAGGCTGATGAGTCTCTTTAATTGTCCGAAGAATAGTTAATTAGCCTTGTCTCATTAGATCGAACGGCGTCGCTTGTGTTCGATCATACTCTCTCGTATAGTTTCGTCCTAGACCTTGTTTTCCAGAGAATTAGCACGTTTGATTTCTCTCTTCCCTTTCTTCCTGAATCTTTGATTTTTACAGTAGCAAAGGAACTTTGTTTTAATGGAATATGCAAAAATAAATAAAACTACTTCTGTTGTCAAACGTAGAAAATAGATTGATAACTTTTATTTCCATCATTAAATTGCGCATACACGAAAGTAATATAAATTTTAATATCATAATGTAATATTAAAATATTATATATATACAATATAATAGACATAAACAAATCTCTGTTTAGAGTTTACCATTTAAATGACTTTTACGAAAATATAAATTTGAATTAAAAATCCACGGTCTAATTGTCATTTTGATTTCTCTCTTTCTTTTTAATTTCTTTGTATGGGAAGATATATATAGATTAATAATATATATATATATACACACACACACATAATTATGATATACATTTCATAAGATTAATAATCTATATATATATATATGTACGTTTTCTATGGAATTATTAAAATATTTAATTTTTAATATTTAAGTGAAGCAAAGATACAATCCTTCATTAAAGTCAGAAACACGTAAACAATTGAAATAATTGATATCTTCTTATCAGACATCATTGTCATAGTTCAAATAAATAAGTAAAATGACTGCGAAAGCTTGTGAATAACGCCAATAGAATTAATAACTTTTGCAGTCGACTCTTTAATACGATTTTCTATATTCACTAATAAGGAGAAGTCAAGATTCGCGGTGGACCTGCAAAAGATTAGACGATCGAGCCGTGTTGGAAAAGGTCTTGACAAATGTCACCACGGATGTTCCATGGGTTCACGACCCCATGTCGGTCATATTAGAGCACTGAATTAGTTAATGCCAGTCACATGGCCGAGCAATGAATTATCTTCTCGTGATGCGTCAACAGTGCATACGATTGCATTTTCGACAAGATCGTTTGTCCAATCATCGTCCCTTCCTTCCTGTTTAGCTGGCCCTTGTTCGACGAATCATACTTGTTTACTACTCGTTAATCCCATGCGACAATCTTCAACCGAGAGGATTTTGATCTTTATTCGCTTCACGAATGCCGACGTTCAACATTTGATTCTATAAAATATAGTGGATTAAAAAGTGTGCCATATCTTCGTGATAGGATACTGAAAGATGAAAGTAGCTGGAACTGTAAGCTGGAGCTCTTTTTTACTGTAATTAACGTTCCGACGAGCTAAGAGGAGGGAAAAACATCGGAATGTAACAATTCTCTGGAGAAGTGTTTTTAATTCGTTTTTTAATTTTTGTTCATTTAACGACCGAAACAGGCCTGCCTCGTATATTTTGATAAAATAAAGTATCTGTTCGAGTTAATACAGAAATTTATGTCATGAAGTGTGGAAAGAGGAAACAGAGGTATCGGAGATAAGAAGAATATTGCAATTATTCGCTGACTCTTTTCTAACATCTTTTCTTTTAATTTTCATTTAAATATTTCTCAAGTATTTAAACACTCCAGTAATTATAAAGAAAACAATTATTCGTAAGTTCTTAGATTTTAAAAAAAGAATAAATATCTCTATATATCATCTAAACGCGATACTTCAGCAATTATGTCCGAGAAGAAAAATATCTCATTGTCAGAATTGTGACACGAGTGTTCTTTTATTCCATTTTAAGTTGTGAAGTAAAATGCTTAAAACAGAAATAGGTATCGAGAGAACGCTAATAATTCCACTGATTTCAAGTATCTGGTTTTTTTCTCATGGCTTTGAGAAGATACGAACAGTGATTCAACGTTAAGGAATTCAGAGTATTAAGCTAATTTCTGTGATCTAAAGGTCCACGAGGTTTTAATGGACGAATTATCTAATTATTCGGACAATGAATTTCGCAAGAACGAAACGTTCCTTTCATGCTAACGAAAAATCGGACAATAGCCAACCGAGGAGCCCATAGAGCAACAAAACGGAGAGGGAATTATGCAAAGTAAGGGAAATAATTTTCGCGGAGAGGTATAAAAATGTCTTGAGAAAATTACGAGCGCCGGTGGCATTCGATTTAATAGACCGCGTTTGTTCTTTTCACGGTTATAATGGTTGTTTTATACGTTTAACGAACGTTCAACGCGTTAGTTATTTAAATCCAGATATTTTACGTTTATTTACGTATATCCTTCTTTGTTCATTTACATGAAACTATTGCAAACAAGCATATTACATAACTTTTACATAACGTAATATCATAAAAATATGCATTCCTGTTCATAAATCACTGGACGTTGAATAAAATGAGAAGATGTAGTTACGATTTACGTTGAAATAACTTGACAGTTTACAATTACCAAGGCGATAGTCTTAACGTTATCATTATTTTCAAAATTCTTTAAATAATTTGATTTTCGATAATTTTCCTGCATAAATGTAACATTTTATCCTATTTGTCATACAACAAGGCGTGATTCTTTTTGAATAGAATTAATTATCTTTTACTGTTTCTCAATGTGACAACTTTTTAGCAATAAAGGATATTAATTTTCAACTTTTATCTATAAAATAATAAATTACTATTAGTATTAACTTATTAATATTAATATTAATATTACTGATGAATGATACTTAGCATGACTAAATTTGTGTTAGAAATAATAGTACGAAGAAGCTTTTATTTATAAAGTAATAATAATATTAATATTAATATAATAATTAATAATAATAGTATTAGTAATAGTAATAATATAAAGTTCTGCACGGTCCAGAACTTGGAAACTTTATACATACGTTTGTGTCGTTCGGTATTTCATTAATATGTTAGCACTGCATTTTTTACGAAAGTCTTGCGAGATTCACAGTGTTTGATTTAACAGTGACATGATAATTCATTTTCCTTCGACGAAGTAAATTAAAACTACAGCACTCTCGACGCAACTCTTGTCCAGTTGTTCTTCATTTCTAAAAATATAATACCGCCGCATTTTTATTTTCAAGAACTCGTAAAATCCATTAAATAAACTCGTAAAACAAAACGCGAAGAACCTATTTCCGTAGAAACTAGTTTAAACTATTTTAATGAACATTCGAAGGATCGATCAAAAGCAAAATGTAGCCTACATTATTATAAAAGTGATCTTCGCGAAATTCATAGTTATTGGTTCAATTACTTACATCTTTTTTACTTTTGTTCGGAAAATTTTCAACACTTTCGCAGTCGATAGAAGGTTACTAATCGTTCAGTAAATGGTAATATTCTGTAGCTGGCGAATATCAGGTAGCGAATATCATCTATTTTGCACGAAGTTCAATAATTGCTACTCTAGTGTTGACGCACTCCTTCGTCTAGACAAATTTACCAAGTCGGCAATCCTTTCCGGTTCATTATCTATTATCTCTTTACTTTTCGGGGTAAACAACACGCGAATTTACGGCTCGATGTGCTCATAAGCAAGTAACGTGGCCCGAGCAATAAATACGAACAATTTGCCACGGTGCTCTTTTAATCGTTCATCCATATCCATTGGAAATCTCGTCTGGTAAAAGCTCGGCTTTTTTTTTTTTGTGAAAGGTACGTGTTTTTGTTTCGTTAAAAACGACTCCGTGAAACTTGCGTTCCCGACTTTAATCTGTCAAATTAAACATCTCTAATCGTGCAGCGTAAAAGTAAAATGAAAACTAAAGTTGAAGATTCGCTATGTTATCTTGTAGTACTAAATCACAATGTATAATTAGACAGATGAAAATTTTTCTAATTTCAAATTGAAAGTAATTCCAAATGTAAAAGTAAAACGACAAAGGCGAAAGTTTGGTGGTATTTTTTTTTTACGATTAAAGAGTGAAAGTTTATCATTATTTTTTTTTTTAATTAAAACAAATACAAGTGAAAGTATAAAAAGTCAAAGTGTGTCAGAGCTGGAAGCTGGCTGTACATAGCATAGCAGAAGAGAGAGAGTCATCGATCGGAGCTTGGTGCCGGCGTCGAATAAGACAGCCATTCATCAAATTACGTGGTAATTTTGATCAATGATAACTGGTGACTTTGAAGGCAGCTTCCTACGAGCCCTCGTCGAGGGAAGTGGCCAATTGCCGTGTACGGCTACCGTACAGTCTCTACTAGAAATACAACCGATAAGACTCTGAACCTTTCGTCCCTCTCTGACGCGAAAAGCGCTTCAATTATCTCGTCAATGTTCTCCGTGACCTGAATCTTGATTTTCATCGAAATTTCAAGTTCTTCTTTTCCGAAACGTGGAATGCTTTATTTTTGTTTTTTGTCTTACGAAAGGGTAGAAGTGAAACATTGACGAATGATCGTAAAATATTTAGATTTCAAGTATTAAAATTAGATCTCTGATGCTACAATAACATCAGACATTCGTTAATACAGTAACATTGAACATTATTTGACATAATAATGTCAGATATTCTTTAATATCATTTTGCAGAACTTTTGCTTCGTCCATCACGAAGTTATGATCACTTCTTCACTTTTGCGTTGAACAGTGCGTTCGTATGTGCATACGATATTTGAAAAAGATCTGTTCGAAAACGACAAAAGAAAAAAATTGCTAATCGCGAGTGTCCTCGGCAGAGGTGTCCGCGACAATAGACCGGCCGCCGATGTACATATACGTATATACATGCATACGTACATCGCGGGGGGAAGATCGCGAACGTAGCGCGACGACGACGTCGACAACAGTCGGAGCCAGGCTAATGAGTCCGCTAAATTGGACCAGCGCTGAGGCCCTCCTCCCATCATCTGAGGTCCGCACGGTGGTTCTCTCTTCCCATTGTCAGTGTGACTCATTGGCTTCGTGTGCGACGGTCCGGCCTACGTGTTCACAATTGCTTTAAACGCTTCTTTTTGCCAATTTTTGCTTCCGTCCGCCCGTTAGTGTCAGTGTCAGTGTCACACGGACGTCGACGACCACTCGAGAAAGTCTCTCCCCCCCCCCCCTCCCCCCGCCTCCCACCCGGAGGAAAAACGCTCGACATTTTCCATTCAAGTAGACGCGAGTAGAACTGAAGTAGCTCGGTCTAATAGAACCGAAGGAATCCTCTACGGACGACAGATGCGATCGAGCTCGACGAATATACATCCCCGTGTATCGTCTCCGATGAATGAGTCCGACAAGACGACGATGATCCCTTGGCGCGAGCACTCACAGCTGTCTGTTAACTCGGAATTCTCCTGAAAGCCTCCTGGATTCTGGCTCTTGTTCGTCGTAAATTTCGTGGATTACATCGATTGTCGTATCCGTTATCTCGAGGATGATCTTCGCGGTTTGCACGTGGTTATGTAATCTTCTTGGATCGAGGAATTTCAAGCTTGGACTCTGAACGGCGGGAGAATTCAACACCGATAGTATTGTCGACGAAAACAATTGTAGTACAACGTCCAATTGGTCGAAAGGTCGAAACAATGGCTAATCAGTCGACGAAGAAAGAACTGCTGGAGGAAGCTCTTCATTATCATCCGGATGGTGGCGAGGAAGAAGTGGACAAAGAATGGGAGGAATTCAGCAGACTGATGGCGAAATTGCGAGAAAATCGCCGAAACAGACCGCACAGGTACTTCATTCTTCGAGATGTGAAACATATCCAAATTTCATGTCGGACGTTGAATCAGGAGTACATGTTTGCAATTCTCCATAGTCTTGTGAGATTTTAACAAAATCGAAGATTCTAAATGCAATTTGATAATAAAAAGCACTCTATATACATGCTACGTATACATACACAGAATGAATAGTTATAATAATAACTATTATGTAATATGTAATAATAAGTGTAAAGCCCATGGAATATTATACACGTGCATATTAATAATTCATGCTTTTCCTCTTTGGTTTTATTACCATGTAATCAGTATACGTTGATTTTTATGAGTTTCTTCATTTTTACGAAATGATAAAGAAATGGAATCTGAATAGAAATTTGTTTCATCACTTGTATTAAATATTATAATCAGTACTTTGTACATTTTATGTATATTTTAATATTTAGGTATATTAATTAGATAGTGTGTGTATTTTTGCATTTATAAATTTTCCATAAATGCATGAAAATCCGCACACTGTTTATTATGTCTACTTTTTTCTTTTCGATTTTTCTTTTAAAAATACAAATTGAATTTTTTTATAAATATTCAATCGACACTCATTCGCTTCTCTCATGCACAAAAATTCTACAGTTTTATTGAAATTAAATTTATAACAAAAGACAAAAATCTGCAGAATGTATACAGATATATATATTAGTTAGGATATTTAGTACAATTCCAATTTCTACTTTTTAACTACATCCACAAGAATATAATTAAAATTAAATATAGACATTCGTAGCTTGTATTTAAATTATTAATATGTATGTATGTGATATTCTATTAATTAATAAAATTCCAAATAAATATAGAATACTCTAATGATTATCACAATTTTCCACAATAATACTTAATAGTATTAATAACAATATTCTAATAGTTTAAACCTTTCAGTTTTATTAAACACGTGCAAATTCGTTAAAAATCCTATGCTCCTAATTCAACGACCGTAAATAGGAATTTAAGAAAATTTCGAACAGTTCGCGCACGTTATAAGGTTCTCTCTTCTTTGAAATCTCTCTAATTGGAATATTTTACTTTTCCATTAGACCCTCGCAAGCTTTTTATCCGTGTCCTCCGCCGAACGCGGACGAGGAGCAGCAGGATTTCGATCCCTTCGATTACATTAATACGATTGTAAGCGATTTCCTTGATTAATTCGTTCGATGCATCGTGATGAAATTTCTTATGCATGCGCAGAGAAGGGAGGCAAAGTCTTTCGCGTGTAGGAGCATTGATGGAATCTTCCTTTACAATTCAAGTTCACCGATCGCAATTGTCGTTTCACACAGTGGAACTCCATTTAAGTGAACTCCATTTGGACCAAGTTACATAGAAAGTTACCAACTTTCAATAATTTGAGATTGAGTAAAATCTGTTTTGAAGATTTTAATTTAAGAAGATTTCTATTAAGTATATACTAGAAATAATAGTACAGACTGTAGAGTATAGACTATAATAGTATAGTGAATAGACAAGTTTGTCTAAAATAGAATACAATAACTTCGTAGTTTTAACAAATGTGTAATGTAAGGGTTGATCTATGAATTCTTGCAAAATAAAGATCGTAAAGTTATGGGATTCATCCTGTGTTTAATCAATATTTTGTCATTTATAAATTATTGCATAATTTGACTTATTTATTTGAATTAAATTCAAACGAATGGGGATCACAATTCTGTGTTTAGAACGCAGTAAAAATAGTTTCTTCTAGTAGTAGACATATTTTGGAACTGATACATTGATGCTAGAAACATAATAATCGATTGAAACCCGTCTCGAATGTATTAAATGAACTTCTGCTGATTGAATCCCACCTATTTGAATCTAAACTCTTATTGTATAAATTCCAATTATATAAACTACTTGTCCCTCGACAAGTTCGCATAAGCGGAGTTCTGCTGCAGTTTCTCTATATAATATATATATTACAGTCTTTCTAATCGCTATATATAGCGGTTTATGATGAAAAATCAAGTTGGAAAGAAAGAATAACTTTTTCCATCCAAGACTTCGTTTGTGAGAAAATGAAATTTAAAACTTTATCAAGTATACTGAAATCTGGCTAATTGCAATTTGGGTTATAATTAATTGGTCAATTGAAGAAAGCCTTGTTTTCAAGAAAATACAGTAGCAAATAAAAAGAGATTTAAAATTGCTTTTGTATAATATTAATATGTGCATATTCGTACGAATGAAAATTTTAATTTTTGTAGTAGATATTTTTTTATCAAAATAATATGTATAATCATTTCCTGTTAGAAAACATATATAAATACAAAGATACGTACATATTTTGCTAATATTTCATAAAAGATAGAAATGTTATAGAAACTTGTATTGCAAACCTTTCCCTATTTCTTGCATCTTAATTTCTTCCAAGTCAGAAGCTTCAGTCACTGGTAGTGATTCAGGTCCACTATTCAGGTCTTTTTCTTCGCGAATTTTTACGATAGCGTGGACGTTAGCGCGCGACCTTTGAACGGTTGCCAAGTGGGCAAGAGGCTACATTTTAAATAAACGTTTCGTGAGAGCAGTTTGCAATAACAGGTCACGATCCCTGTCAGCTCTGTCGGCGTCGATGTTACACGAAGCACAGTCTCTTTTTCTCTCTCTCTCTCTTTCTCTCTCGAACGATTCATCCCTAACAGCAAGTTCTTCGTTTAAATGCTCGACTTGCACGGCGCGCCGTCGTCTCACGTGACAAATTTTTGACAAATTCGTCGCACGACATGTGAAACAGGTTTCACAAATGTCAATGAAATGTCAGATTCGCGGGAGTTGATGGCGCGTACACGCGGTCCGACCTTGACACGAAATCTACATCAACCGCAACCTCATCGAGCGCACCTCCGCGAAATTAGATACGAGAAGATGCGAAGATAATAATATTCGGGTTATCCTTTTTGTCGTCGCTTTGAAGTCTGTGGAAAATGTTCGTAAATTGTTAGATCGTTCGCAGTTCATTTTTTCCCTTCTAAACGCTTAAGATGTTTAGAACAGTTTGTTGGCGTTTTAGAGTTCCCCCTCTCAAAATTTTGGAAAGTTTTTCGAGCTATTGAACGTCCTTCGATTTTTTAAAAAATATTTAGAAATTCATTGCGTGGCACGCTTTGGTGACGTTCGAAGTTAAAAGATGTTGAATTAGGCTCAATTGTTCTATCAGAAATTACATTAGGTTTGATTTCTTGGAGATCATAGAAAATCTTCGAAATTATTAAATTGTTCATTGTTCTTTCTATTTCTTTTGTGGTCAAAATTATTGTGTAATACGCAATTAAAGAATAATGAAGCTCAAGGTACAAATTACTCATTCTTTCGGTTCTTTTGAATCATACAAAAATGCATTTATCAACGTTCAGAGATTAAATTCGTTTGCAAAAATGCAAATTTTTTAAATAACATTACGCTTATTACTATTCTCGGCACGAACAAAGACTCGCGTCAATCTGCAAGTAATTTCTGCATCGATTTTCATCAGTTAATCGAGAGTTTAAAGGAGAATATTTGTCCATGTATAAAAATGTTAAAACGTTTCAATTCCCCAAATCAATTTCAGTGAAAAAAAAATTGTATTCTTCTATCAATCTATCGCGCATTAATTCCGCATTTCTGTCGCAACATTCGTAACATTCGTTTCTGATTCTCCCGCGTGAAATCCTGATGGTTTCGCGTAAGCGCGTCTCAATTCTCGGCGAGATCCTACAAACGGAGAAGGGTACGCCGACCATTGCAGCGACGCCTTTCTAAGCAATGCCTTTATCTGCATGAATGAGCGCTTAAGGACTCGTTACGTTTATCCGGCACGCGTGACCAGCATGCAGATCCCCTCACGTGACATACAGGTCCGACTCGACACGCGCACAGAACATTTCGACCTGCACGCACACACGCTCGCCGTTTATCCTCTGGCATGCAGATTCACTGTTTCTGGATGCAGCGTCTGCATCGCTTCGTTGCGTCAGTTTTTTCCGCAATTTCCATGAAAATCAATTGTCCATTTTGTTAATGGCCCCTTTCTTCGAATTGAACCTCAAAGTGGAGCAAAGCAGTCATGTAATATAATATAATTGACGAACACTCGATTTTGGAGAACTCTCTCTAATTTGCACATATATATTAAATTAACTTAAATAATTATTTAATTATATATTAAATTAATATATTTAAATTAACTCATAATGTGTGAGAAACGATCCCTGCGTATATTTCTATTTTTTTATTTTAAACAGTACTTTACCCAGCATTGCTCGCTCATGTTGAAAATGTGTCACGTCGGAAACGCCACAATAAGCGGGGGCGTTTATCACTTTGTTGAGGTGATTACTTTCAGGAGTTGTGCCAGCCGGTGAGCTCCTTTCTGGAAACGGTTCTCCGATGCTTTTGCAAAGGAGCGACCGAAATCTATCCCGCGTGGCGTACCATTGAAGAACGACGAGAGTACATAACTGTTTGCGGTCAGAAGAGCGCAATGGAATTCTAAAAATAAGAATTAGAGTAAATTGTAATGTAATTGCAGTGTCTTAAAATTAGATTCTAAAACTGCTGGCCAGCCATTAGAGACTGAAACTCCAAGGCGACTCGAAGATAATTTGGTAATAAACATGGTACCATGACCCTAAAAGATGAAGGTAGCCTTACCAAAAACTTTCTCACGAAAATATTCGAATGCTTACCATAGAAGAACTATCGCGTGTATATACGCTCTATTATATGTGTTGTATAAAATACTTTGAAATTTTATTAATACTGCAACGGGAAATGATTGTTATGATTACGTTGGTAAAAATCTGATAATATAATGTACACAGAAGTTGCAAGATATTTATTGCAAATTAGATATGAATCATTATCTTAGATATACAGACTGATTTTTTTAAATGCATTTGGGTGATGAATTTATACAGTAAAATAAGTAAAATATATCTTTTAATGTATATTAGTACATGTATATATCTTAACTTTATATCGAAAATATGCCTTAGCTTCCGAATTATAGATAATTGGAGAAACTGTTCAATGTGCCTGTTTTGTGTCTCATGTTATTGCACATTGTAGTACGCCGAACTCTTATCCAATATTTACAAAAAACAACCATTGATAAGCAAATATCAATCCATTAAACATTTATTTTTGATACATTGTAAAATTTACTGTATGTCCAATCGAGACGAATAATGTGCACAATCCACAAATAAGAATTCAGAATGGATTTAAAACTATTCAAGAAATAGTTGGTAATATTTTCGTAAAAAGTTCCTGTGGATGTTTGTCTTCTATCTTGCTAAGAACATGTAAAACATTGAAAATTGCGAGTCCTGATTCCAGGAACTATAGCTAATTAATGTGGTTAAATATATCTTATTCTTAAATACGCGATCTGAAAAAGAAAAAATAGTAGCAAAAATACATCGTGTTTTTATTCAATTAATTTTAATCGTATTAAATTCGCGTCGTGCAATTTTGAATCACGAAGGACAGAACATCTATGGATTTGTCGTTTGTCCGAGGAATTAGGTCATTAATTGTATCGTAAATTGATTACGATCAATTACTAAAATTGGGTTAGCGGCTGACTGCCCAGTGGAACGTGGTCATCGTTGACGTCAAATTCATGCACATGAGCAGGTTTGCTCAGGTGCCGGCTATATTTCAATCCGCAGATCATGAACAGAGATCCCTCTGTTACTGGGTCCTCTCGCTACAGATCACCTGCAAATCTGTCCTTTGTAAAACGTTCGCGGTATTGTGTTTGCCGAGCAATAAAATGAGAATCAAGCTTAACTAAAGTCTTGCGATAACGATTTGCACTCGTGACATAGATTAAAGATCAAATACTACGAAGATTATACTTTTATTGCTTTTATTTATCTAGCTTTATTATAGTCGTATTTTATAACTGCAGTTTGTTTACAACTAATATTTCAGGTGAAATACTTTAATACTTCAGTCTAGTATGTAATTATTAATGTTACAATGGCATAATTGCACGTGGCTCTTTTTTTTTTTTTAAATATTACAGACTATATCGAAGGTAATAAGATAATGAAGGGGGAAGGTAATAAGGCAAGGAATTAGTATTAGAACTATTAACCATTAAAATACATGTACATATATCAAAGAAATTGGAATGCAAAAAGTAGAAAAAAAAGAACACAAGCTTTTGTTTATATATTTTTCAAAAGATCATCCAAAAGTGTGAACTGATGACTTAGTTCTGCAAATTTACAACGCATCTTGAACTTACAAAATACTTTTATTTTTTTCAATGACACTGCAATAGCTTCACAAGAAATAATTGATTATACGCTATTTACAAATTCTTATAATACAATATGTGTAATTCAGAACGATGGAAAATTATAGCAAATATTACAGAAAACACTTTGAAACGTGTTTTAAATATTTTACGCATTTTGCGTAGCTTTACACTTAAAAATTCCTTATAAACGCGTGAAAATCCGCAGTCTAACTAATGACCGCTGTATGTAATCAAGCGTAGAATTCGTAGTAAGCGGAATAGCAAATTGCCGGTTATTTCTGTCCGGTTTTCGACGATCCAAGAAGTTTCCAAACGTTCGATAAACACGGGACGCATTTGAGATGTACGACGATTGCGAAACGTTGTTTTCCAAGCAACGTCGGAAAAAATGGGTTATACCTTTCTCATATCAAAAACCCAACAAGTTAGAATCCATTTCTTAACCAAATTCTCTTCTAATTAGAGGATTGAAAAACAACAAAGACAACTTAATCCAAATTTCACTTTTATTTATGAAATCTACTTGAAGCAAATTTTCGTCAATACTCGAGTAAATGAATTTCTGCCGGTTGAATCCACTTATTTGAATTTGTATTCTTGCTTTGTGCTCGAAAAGTTGCTAGTAGAAGGGATCTCGCTTTATTATACGAATTGTTATATAAACTACTAATTACGTAAACTATTTGTCTCCTGACAGCCATATAAACAGAATTCCACTGTAAATGAAAAACAAACTTAAGGTTCAAATTATAGTTTGTAAATATTTCAATTTTTCTGAAATTTCATAAAATCGTAGAGTCTAAATGGAGGAAATAGTAAGAAAAAAAAAAAAAAAAAAAAAAAAATGGAACGAACTTTTCTAAACTTCTCTTTTGTCGTCAGAATGTTAGAAAAGAAATTCGATAATACAAATTCGATTGAGAGAAAATTACAAATGAGATATTGTGTTAATACAACGTTGATTTAATTTCACTCCTATCAAATGTAAATTATGATATATTTAACTTTTACGAGACATAGCAAATCTATGAATAAAAAAATGCATTTAGTCCGTAACCTTCACCCGTTATTAAGTTAATGGTGTAATGAACAATAGAGGTGCAACATGGTTGATCGACGGTGACCACCGCTAAAAATAAGAATTTTGACTGTTGCCAAATTTCAACAAATATCGCGGCTCAAGTTCGAATCGGAAAGCAGATTCAGTTGTCGTTTGACCGCAAATTTGCGTACACGCGTTCTATCGTCGGGAAATTTATTAAACGAACGTTTTCACCGAGACGCGAAGAATTCTGAAACAATTTGCAAATAGCGTGCAATTAATTATTTCTCGCTAGAGGATATTTTTCTGCTATTAAAAGAACATTAAATGCTATTAAAAGAACATTAATTATGTTGCAAGTTCAAAATTTGTGAGAAAGACTGTAAATTAACATCATCGGATAAATTCGTAATTTTTCGTGGAAATCAATTTCGTCGATTGAAATCGCGAATAAATCTCGAGGTATCAGAAAGAGGTTTGTGAAAGATCATCGAAATTGAAATTCGACAAACAATAATAGCAACAATTCGACAATAATTTGAGTTGTGAAATGAGCAATAGAGAGATAGAGATCTCTTTCGACAAATAGGAAATATCATTTATCTCGTTTCTTGTTGGTCTTGGGTCGAACAGAAAGGTCCTTGGCAAAAGGAAAAGATACCAATAAAGCTCTAACAAATGATTCATACGAGGCCCCTGATATCGGCGATAAGCCGTAAAATTTTATGAATCATAAATTGAAGTACATGAATATTGACAAAATTCGGAAGTGCTGTCGCACGTTGTTTCGTCGATCTGCTCGTTCATTTAGTAGTATGCTGGCAATCGTTTAAGGAAGAAAACAATAAAATCATAAAGGCCTGTTTATACTAGCTTATTGCCAGAAATAACTAAAATCAGAGTTTGCCAAGTATCAAAGTGCGAGCCATAGAACCGAATATTTAAAATAGTCAGCGGCAATTAGTCTCGCGAATTATCTAGCGAATGACCAAGGGTGGAGTTCAGAGATAGCAGGAATAGTTGCCTGCATAGGTGAAAGTGTTTGTCAGATCTAATTAACAATTGTAGAAGATGTCGAATCAACTGTCAGTGACACGTAAATCGTTTCTGTACTCGAAGAACGCCTGGTCGGTGACTTGAGTAACTCCATTTTTAAAACTAGTTCGAAGGTTGCGGAAGAACTATCATCGAGTGTTCATGCCGGCTTTCGTTCTGAACAGAGCGTATTTCGTCTGTAACGATGATTATCTTGTAAGTGAATGATATTTGACGACGTTTTCTTACTCTTTATCATGGCGGACAGTTTTGGGTACATTTTAAGCACGTAAAAAGTATTGGAAATAATAATTGCTTAAGAAGTTCTTTTCCTTCTGAAATAATAATCGATGACATAATTGTAAAACGAAATAAATGAATATTTTTAATAATATTTCAATCAATATAAAAATTATAAATTAACCAATACTGTGTCGAAATGTGGAAAGTGTCGTTGAAGATTGTAATACAGTGTATGTAACAGTGTATAACAGTGTATAACAGTGTCATATATAGATCTTTTGAATATCGTAGAAAATTTCATAGTATTTCATTGCTCGTTTATTGCTCGTATAATGTGAAAAACATTTATTTCAACTTCATCCTGAAAAATATATATAGTTGAATATCTCAAATAATAATTTTTTCAATCAACACGAAGATAAATTATTATTTCAAATTGACCAATGTAACATCATCTAGCAAATAATCTTCCACATTATCGTATTTATCGAATATTATTAAAGATATATAGTGAAAAGAATATTTATTTCAAGTAATTACATTTGAGATACATAGCGAATATACTTGTAAAATTAAACAATATTTCAATCAAAGACAAATAATTTCTTCCAAATATTTAATATATGAGAAATAATCTCTACAAATTTTTGTTCTTTATTTTCAATACTATTGTACCCAGCACTGTCTGCACATTGTACTAACCAATCCATCGAATGTTTTCCATCTCCGTCGTTCTCCTTCAATATATCGATATATAACGCTGATACGTCTTGTCTTCTCGATCACTAATCAGAGTCATCGAACCTCAAACGCGTGTAATCTTATTTTCTTCGATATTCCGCGTGGACTTGTTTGCTCGTATTGTCTAGTTTCGAACAAGATCTAGGTTCGAGACATTTCGTTCCTTGCGAATTATATATTTTATCATGTTCTCATACAATTCGCGGTGGCTCTTCGTGTTCTGTACCATTTCAGAGTCCGATTCGCAGTACTCGCCCTTAATCTCGCGTCATGTAGTAAGTGATTATACTTATAAGTGAATTTCTTATTTGTTACCCTTTTTAATTTTGTCTGGAGAGATTACAAGTAATTGCGAACGGGGATATAAAATTTTGGTCTGTGTCATCAATTTAAGCGATATTTCTTTTCTCGTTGAAATGATGATGTATTATCTCTGTGACTATTATAATTTTGTAAATTGCTTCATAGGTATTGTTCCGTCGTAACGATTCTCCTTTTCCTAATCGATCGCTTGTTTCGTGAAAAATTAGTACGGCACGATGTTTACAGTTCTACTATTGAATGGAAGAAAGATGTCAATGACAAAAATCAGTTTTATTTTTTATTTAAAAGTGAAGTTTGTTATATGTAGTGAAATTGTTGCGAAATTGTGCAACATTGTCTGTAGCGTTAAAGAATTTAATATTTCTTCTTTATCGTTACGTTAACGCAATCTAAGTTGTGTAATATATTAATGAATGAAATGAATTTTAATTATAGCTATTGTTCTGTAAAATGGCGAAGTAGAAAATAACGTACGTTTTTCTTTTTTTTTATTATTATATATGCTATATTTGCATATCTAATCAAAATATAAAGCTCAGAAAATGTCCAAATATTTTTGTGACCGACAGTATGCATATATAAACCGTAATATATTCAGAATGATTGATATTTGGCTTATCATTATATTTATGCCTAACGCTTGACTTATGCTTAATGTAATTTTTAAAATTTAAAGAGCATGTATGGAAAAGAATCTAAAATCTAATGAAGCATTTTACGTCAAAATGTTTTTCATTCAACAGTGCAATTCCATTAATTATAAAAGTATAATTCAAATAAAGAAGCATGATAATAAGCACGTAGAAAAACAATATTGGGAAGTGCGAATAAATCACGAAAATGATTGACTTTATTAATGACAGAATTAATGCTTATAAAATCGATGACGTTCGAGATCGGCTTACCAATTCGATTGACGACTCTGATGTGTGGATTAATTACAAAATCTTTGTTATTTCATTAGTTCGGTCATGGCATTTCTGTCGAGACACGACTCGCTCACGTGATTGATAATGAAACACATTAAGTAAAAGATCTCTAATAAATCGAAATCAATAGTGAATCACAAAATAATGATTCTCCAGAATTAATCTGTCGCAAGTAAATAACTTGATTCGAAGGTTTTTTAACACGTTGACTACTAGTTATCCCCAGTGAGCAATGTTTCTATTCCCATAATTAAAATGATTAAAATAAAACGAATTTCGACAAATAAAATTTTAAATAATATACATAATTGATGAAAAATTGCGTTAATATTTTCAACTGTTACAATTCTATAAAACAATTTTTATGTTATGGTTAAATCTACCATAAAAATTGGAGATCTTAACAAAGATTTTTTAAAACCTGCTGTACAATTTTCTTCACCACGTTATTGAATTTCGAACATTAGAATTAAACGACAAAAATTCCAGAAATTTTGACATTTCATCGTCTTATCCCAATGTTCAAAGTTTAACAAAACAGTGAGAAAAAATCGTATAGCATGTTTTAAGGAGTCATTGTAAAGAAAAAATTTCAAGCTTCGAAGCCATGATGGATCTAGTTTTCAAGGTGTTTCAGATTTTTTAACAAGCAGTTCATTATTTCTTAGCATAAGTAAAGAACATATATAATATGTATTTGACAAAAATTAAAGATAAAACGTATAAATTTCAACGTAGTAGTCAATGTGTTAATTGATAAATCAATTGTGGATATTAACCATTTGGTACGCGTCACATGTAACAAATTTTATGTTATCGTCGCGAGAAACGATATTGCATCGTGTTTTCCCGAGAATGCCGATAATGTCGATATCGGTCATGTGAAAATTTTGGATAAAAAAATATTGATAACAACCAATTGTCTCGCTGAAAATTGAACGACGTGAGACTCGAATTAAAAGAATAAAAAAAAGTTCGAAGAACTTACTAATTAGAAAAGTGTTCGAAATCAATGAAAGATAATGCTGCGTTTAGATGTATGGTCGTTACACGAAGGATCTGGGTGAATACGCAAAGGAAGAGGCACGAAAACTCAAATACCACGAAAAAGCACGGCGGAAATATGACAAAACCAGAGCGGAGGATCTACGGAAGTCGAGAAGAGGACCACTGTGCAGGAAGTTGCTGGCGCTGTTGGCCTTCGCTTGGAAACACACCGGAGCTAGATTGGGCGAAGATTGGGTGTTCTTGGCTCTCCTTGGCGTAATTATGGCGCTTATCAGTTACGCCGTAGATCGTGGCATTTCTATGTGCAATAACGGTCAGTTTAACTCTCGATTTATTGCGTTGATACGACGTTCCATTTGTTATTCTTTTTGCACAATTTGGGACTAATTGGGACTAATTAAATTTCGTATCATTTTATATTTATTAGTGCTATCATATACTTACAAAAATTCGATATTGTGAAAGTGAAATGTAGAAACCCATAAGATGTTTCCTATTTGGATTCTATAATTTTATGAAATTGGAAGAAATTGAAGTATTTGAAGTAATATTACGATAGATTATTGATTTTTAATTAGTTAACTACGGAATTAATACCTTTGAAAGAACATTCTAAAAATTCGAAAATTTTTCTATTATAACTATGATCAATAAATAGTTTATTTTTATTTTTTTTTTTTTTTATATACAAGTAAGGTTGAAATTAGCTATTAATTCTTTTCTCGGAAAATTCAATCTATTTCAAGGTATCGCAATTTTCCACGTCATTAGTCTGTGTACGTTTATTTCGATAATCTATTCGACACGCGATGAAATCAAGGCTTCGTTAACCGTATTCTTGTTCCACCAGCCAGGATATGGCTTTATCAGGACCTGACACATCATCCAGCGCTTCAATATCTTGCCTGGGTGTCCTTGCCAGTTTGCCTGATACTCTTTAGCGCCGGTTTCGTCCACATCGTCGCGCCACAGAGTATAGGATCTGGCATTCCAGAGATGAAGACAATTCTACGCGGAGTGGCTTTGAAGGAATATTTGACCTTTCGTACTCTCGTAGCGAAGGTTAGAGACGAGACTTGATTTTTATCATGGTACATCTGGATCTCTTTTTACACGGTGAATGTGAAAAAAAAGAACTAGATATATAAAGGAGATTCATAATGCCTGATATACCAATCTTTAATGCTTGAGAAGAAGGGTCTGTGTGCTGTCGCCAGATAAATTTTTTGCTTTGCAGACATAACAAAGAAAATATATTAAAAAGAACTGTGTGAAAGTTAATCGTGTAAAAAGAGATCTAAGTGTATAGTATAATTGTTGCTTTTTGTCTTCCTAATCGTTCAATTTTAATCTGATCGATTGATTAGAAATTTCGAGCTGATTGTGAAATGTTACATGATGACTGCTATGATTGTTACATATGTGTTTTTGAGTGATTATCATCCTCAGTTCACATGTTTTATTTCGATAAAAATTATTTATTATTTTTTTGATTTGAAATATTATATTATAGTGTTATAAGTAAACACTTGTACTTTATTTATCTAGAGTGACAAGAATACTGTTTGATATGAATCAAAAATTCAGTATGTTTCGAAAACGAATGTTAAATTCATGATATCACGTAATTTCTTAAACATTAAATAAAAGTTAAATTCCTAATATTCCGAATACTTTCAGTATCAAAATACAATTTCAATATTAAAAACAGTACAACAAAAACAATTTCAGTACTAAAAATAGTACAGTGTTTCCATGTACAAGAATACAAAATACGTATGTATATAAAATCATTTCATGTATAAGAACGCAAAGAAACACGTAAATAAAATTCGCATAGCAGTTATCACGTTAAAGCTTCGATTAAATAAATTGAACCCTAATAAAATTCCTCTGTATTCGTCGAATTCCCAGTTTCCTTGAAGCTTCTGTTTTCGAGCATCGGTGTAGAGTCGCCAGTAATGTCTAACAGGTGATAGGTCTAACTGCCACCCTGGGCTCCGGTATACCTCTGGGGAAGGAAGGTCCTTTCGTGCACATCGCCAGTATCGTGGCCACCCTTCTATCCAAATTGGTCACCAGTTTCCAAGGGATCTACGAAAACGAGAGCAGAAATTGCGAGATGCTCGCTGCGGCTTGCGCCGTTGGAGTCGCCTCCTGCTTCGCAGCGCCAATCGGAGGAGTTCTCTTCAGCATCGAAGTAACCACGGTTTACTTCGCCGTACGAAATTATTGGAGAGGATTCTTCTCTGCAGTGTGCGGCGCCACGATGTTTCGATTGCTCGCGATCTGGTTCCAACGAGAGGAAACGATCACCGCGATGTTCGCGACGAATTTCACCATGGACTTCCCTTTCGATCCTCAAGAGTTGTTCGTGTTTGCCTTAATCGGCGTTGGCAGCGGTCTAGGAGGTGCTTTCTATGTTTGGCTACACAGGCAGTACGTGATCTTCATGAGGAAGAACAAGAGTATGAACAGCTTCCTGCAGAAAAAGTGAGTGATTTTCGGTTGGAATGTTTCTAATGAAGATTATATGCATATGTGCTTAATTAACTTCTTCTTAGTTGAAAAAAATAATATTGAAAATAGTATATCTCTATGAAATCATAAATATTTTTCTTTTTCGCTATTGGTCCATTTTATGCTCAGTATAATATTTAGTTTTATGTTCTTTGTATTTTATATTCATCTTTTGACAAATTATCGAGAAAATTTCTCAGAAATCTCAAAATCTACCTCCTTCGTTGTTTATTTGTATATTCAATGTTATTCATAATTATATAAATGATATATTTTATGTTTTATTTTCTTTCTGCTATAAAAAATAAGTTCCTCGCTATCGTTAACATAAACTATTTTGACTATGTTATTAATTAGAAATTCTAATTATAGTATTTTCAATTTGAATTAACTTTCCAAGTCATTCAAATGATTATAACCATATAAATAATTATAATATGTCCGAATAATTACATACGTGAAGTTACGTAAAATTATGTAAAATCGCTCGAATGATAGTACACAGAAGTTAATTCTACATAAGAATTCAAATAATCTCAAAAACTGATAAGTTAACTAAATTAATATTGCGCTATTGTGTATGTTAATAATCAGAGTACCAATAATATTCAAATATCACTCACTAATCCACAAAATTATTCCAGTCGTTTCTTGTATCCTGGGATCGTTTCCCTCATCGTATCCTCCGTGTCTTTTCCCCTGGGACTGGGCCAGTTCATGGCCGGTGACTTGAATACCCATGATCAAGTATATGGTTTGTTCACCAATTTCACTTGGACCAAGCAAGAATTAGGAGTAGAAGAAATGAACATAGTTCAACATTGGTCTACTGCATATACTGATGTATTCATCGGTTTAGTTGGCTTCATTGCATTCACAGTAAGCTATAAAATCAAACTTAATCAAACAAACTGATCGTGTTTTTGAAAAAAAAAAAAAAAAAAAACAGTTTGTAGTGGAACGAAAAACTTTATTTCCAGTTTATCTTTTCGATCATTTCTTCCACGGTTCCTGTGCCATCGGGAATCTTCATCCCCGTATTCAAAATCGGTGCTGCGTTAGGCAGAGTTGTGGGTGAAGCTATGGCTCTGTGGTTTCCCAACGGCGTCCGTTATGGTGGTATCATAACTCCTATTGTCCCAGGTAATTTAGTTTAATTTAAAACTTTCTCAGTGGACAACAGAGTATTTTAACTTTATTAATACTTAATTTTTTCCACAAATATCTTAAATCAATATTTCGGCTTCCCGTAATAGCTTTAGTTTTGCTTTAATTTTAATTTTCATAAAATGAATTTTTATAATAGGAAACATTTTTACTGAAAAGCATTAGCTAATAGAAGTACTTTTGTAGATAAAATTATTAATTGAAAAGCAGAAACAGTTTACACGTTCTGTTTCTACGATAATGATTTGTAATTATAGATAGAAAAATTGTAAGGTAATAAGAGAAAATATTTAGGTTTCTTTTTAATAGTACCAAGTTTTCGGAAAGAAATTATATGGTATTAAGGTTGGATTGTAAGAATTAAAAAAAATTGTTCTTCAGGAGGTTATGCTACCGTTGGTGCAGCTGCATTTTCCGGTGCTGTTACCCATACAATCTCTGTGAGTGTTATTGTATTCGAGATGACCGGTCAAATCACTCATATCGTTCCTGTCATGATCGCTGTGCTGATCAGCAACGCTATTGCTGCACTTCTTCAGCCTAGTATATACGACAGTATCATTTTGATCAAAAAACTGCCATACCTGCCAGATCTATTACCTTCCAGTTCAGGTAAATCTTTTTATCTTTAACTTTCAAGTATAATAGACGTTGAAACTTACTATAACAGGTCTCACTGATCGTTAATATTAATAATAATATTAATTAAGATGCCAAATAAAAATCAAATTCACTTGTTCTTGCTTCAATATCATTGCTATCAATAATATAAACTATTTTTTTAAATTTGTTAATGGATAATAAACACTATTCTAATTGCTTCATATTAATAATAATAAAAAATTTCAAGCATAATTGAACAATAATAAGAATATAAAATAATAGAGAAAGAGAAATAAAGATGAATAAAAATTGGTCTCACTAACAATATAGTATTTAAGAGGTAGTAATTCCTATATTTTTCTAAAATTTATTTCTACTACTTTACAAGCTTCCCAAAGGAAGTTTTGGAAGAAGGTAATAAATTCCATATTTTATTCTAATTTCTCTTTATATAAATCAAGATGTAAGAAATAAAATTATTGCGAGAGAATCGTGTGTGTCGTAGGAATGTACAATGTGTATGTCGAAGATTTTATGGTTCGTGATGTGAAGTATATTTGGCACGGAATTACCTATCAGAAATTAAAGGAAATTTTGAAGGAAAACCGCAAGCTACGTGGATTTCCCCTTGTCGATAATCCTGATTCTATGATTTTACTTGGATCTATTCAAAGATTGGAATTAATCAAGCTGATTGAGAAACACATAGGACGAGAGAGGAGGCTACAGGTAGTTGTCGTAATATGTTATTTCTAGAAATAATTAACTCGTTATGGAACATTACAAATAAATTCAATTAAATCCCAATGTTGGAAAATAGAGATGTTGATATTATTATATAATAAATAATAATAAATATTAATTAAAATTATCTAATAAAAAAAAATAATAATAATAATAATAATAATAATACTATAATATTAATAAATATATATATATTTATATACTTATATTTATATTTATATATTTATATATTTATATTTACATACTTATATTTATATATTTATATTTATATATTTATATATTTATATTTATATATTTATATATTTATATTTATATACTTATATTTATATATTTATATTTATATACTTATATATAGTTTTTGAAATGTGGTGTCAAAATTGATTGATTTACATTTTTTTTGCATTACAAAAATTATATTGGTCTTGATTCATAGATGAATTAATTAATGGAAAAGTTTCGATTAAGATTCATAGATTTGAATTTGTCTTTCAGGTAGCTCAAAAATGGCACAAAGAGGCAGAGGAGAGAGCACGAGAGGAAATGGAACGACAATTGAGAGACCAGGAAAGAACGAGAAGACCGTCCAGGTTCGAAGTGATTCCGGCGCCGGATATTCTTAAGATGCAGAGGCAAAGTGTTAACGATCTAACAATGTCACCAAACAACGGTGCCGCTCCTGATCATGTGAGTCACGCCCATTTGACGTCAATGGTCACGCATAATTGTGTACATTTACTCAATTAACTACGTAGCGCTGGTCATCACACAAATAGCTTCTTTTTTTCGTTTCACCGTGCCATTCGCGTGTTATCTTTTAGCACACCTACCATTCTCCGGTATTTGGGTCACAGCCGAAGAAATCGATCTTGAAGAAAACCAATTCCTTCACATTGAAAGGATTCAGCCCACTAGTCAGCCCCGCTGCTACTCCTTATACCACTGTTACTGGCGCAGAGAGCAGGTGAAAGAAATTAATCATATTTTTATGAAATTAAAGTGAATGAATTGAGATTGGAAAATAGACCAATTTGAATTTTTTTTTTTATTTTTGTATAATTCGTTCAGGTTTTGTGGGCCTGTATCCGGTCTTTTATTTCAGTTCTATTTTGATTGTAAAAAGAATAAAAAAATTAAAATAAAAATAAATTTAGATTAAAAATTGGATAAATTTAGATTAGGAATTAGATAAATTTGACTTTACGGTTCTATGTTTTATATTTTACCTCCTCCTTTTGTATATATTCGTATAACAATGCAAAACCTGCTGTTTTATGCTCTGAGAACCGCAAAAAAAATGAAATATTATTTTTACTCTTTTGGCAGCTAACAGTAAAATATATATTTTTTCAGTTTAAATATTCTATTACATTTTCAGGATACGTCTTGCCTTTGAGGCAATCTTCCGTAAGTCAGCCACATTACAAGACGTGGATCCAGATCCAGAGATCGGATCTGGAGGTGTCAGGCGTAACAGTCAAGATGTATCTCCTCATACCCCGATGTTGGTGCCGAGTCCTGCCACCTCGAAGAAAGTACAATTGGTAAATCCATATATTCCTTTTATTATGACTTATCCATAACTGAATATAATTAGACTGCGAATTTTTATATAGATTCATATTTTCTAAAATAGAATTCTACGGTAAGAAAATTAGTTTACTGTTGAAAAACAGAATATTATAATATTACAATATATTATAATAACAATAAATACATATATATATATATATAATATTTTAAATATTATAGAAAGTACTATATTGTATTCAAAGTATAGTGTTTCCTATACTGCACTTTTCTCCTATTTTATATATTCTATGTAATTTTACATTTTTAAATTTTTTTATAAAAATCCGCAATCTAGACAATAACATAATTTATGTGTAACGAAATAATTGTTTATGCATAACGATCAGCCTCGCGAGAGAGTAATAGACATGTCAGCAGAGGATCAGAAACGGTGGGAAGAAAGTGAAATGGCGTTAGAAGTGGACTTCTCAAGGTGTCACATCGATCCAGCACCTTTCCAACTGGTCGAACGGACATCCTTGTTAAAGGTACACAGTCTATTCAGCATGGTGGGAGTGAATCATGCTTATGTGACGGCTATTGGAAGGCTGGTTGGAGTTGTGGGATTAAAAGAGGTTCGTCACAGATTTATATTAAATTATTAAATCTAGATTCTCTTTTCACTCATATGTAATTATTTTCTTCTGTCTGTTTACAGTTGAGGAAAGCGATAGAAGACGCAAATGCTGGAATCTTGCCCATGCACTCAGAATCTCATATAGGCGTCTCGACATCCAGTATCGCGAAGAGCGAAACAGATACAGAAAGCAAAAACGCTAGCACGATGAACTCTATTGCTTCCGTTGATTGCGAGAAAGTGGAAAAAGTCTGAGTGAGAGAGAGGGAGAGAGAGAGAGAGAGAGAGAGAGAGAGAGAGAAGAGAGAGATAGATGAGCAAGAAAGATAAGTAGAAACAAAAATGTGATAGTCGTATTGTCAAGACAATATGACCTGAACGAGAGACGTATTTTTCTTTTTTTTTTTTTTTTTAAATAAAATCTTCCTTCCGTAAACGTAGGACATTTTCCATGAAGCTTGAGCAACAAAGTCGTTTCTAGCCGTTTGTGTAGTTGCAATCGCTTTCGAACACCTCTCGTACTTAATCTCAGGACAAGATCATTATGTAGGGCCAAACAATTCTCAATCAACGCAACGTGACACGCGTTCGATATCGAACGTGTCTACAGTGAAGAGAACTAACAATGAAAAATTGCAGATACTTTAAATTGTTATAAATTTTGTAAAAGAAATCATATACCACTTAGTCTCATTTAAAAGTACAGTTTTTTCTTTGACAGCTCTGAATTCAGTCACATTGTGATTCACAATGACAGACACATATAAGTTCATTGTATAATCGATAGAAGACATTAAATAATCAAAAATTATTATATCTACATATTGCGTAATTAATATCGAAGATTTTTATCGTGAAGGAATTGTGTCATAATGTTTAAGTTATAACAATTTAAAATACATAATTTTTCATCGTAAATTGTGTTCTCCACGGTATATCAAACTTGAAAATTGATAAACGATTTGGCATGTTGCTTGTGGTTTTCCTCTGCGCGTAGAAGGAATTTCTCGGTACCGAAGATTCATATCAGGGTCTGTCAAGTTTTCCTTATTTTTTTTTTCTTTTAGCTGAATTCCACGTGCAATTTCTTCTCCGTAATCCCATAATCATGTAGCATTCATAATTCATAATAATAAGAAAGAAAAAGAGTGAGAGTTACCACGTATATATTTAAGAATGAATGATTGTGACGCGTCGATGAAATATTTTGACTTAGTGATATATCAGTGCTCAGAGGAATTAGGATTTCAGTCCTCGTTTCTTGAAATGTCGAAACTTCTCAAAGAACTATGTATTTTAAAACGTGGTGCTTCAGTGATTCCCCGAAGAGTGGTTTCAGCTTTTAAGAAATATGCTGTGAATCGTGTGTCTGTGTTTAGTGGCCAGCAACGCGAGTCGTAGACGTAATCGATACTGTATTATGTTTTAAGAAACTCAACATAGGATTCCAGGCCTTTGTGTAATAATCATGATTTATCGAGGTTTATTATTTAAGAAGGAACTCATGGCTCGCGTTAAGTGCTCCTGTATCTAATTTTATGACTATGGTTGTGCCAACCCTATTTATTTTAATCGTTCACTATTAACTCTAGATACATCGAAACTTATTAAGTCTATTTGCACGAACGTGCTCAACAGGATCTTCGTGAGGTTTGATTGAATTTTGAAGCAGTCTAGTGTATGATAAATACGTAGATTATTAAATTATATCTAGTATCTAGATATAGAATCTAGATTATTAAATTATATCTAAATTATATCTACATGTATTATATAATATATTACTTTCATTGAGTTAGGATAAACTTTTTCAGCTTAATGCTCTGTTAGTTTGAGCCAAAGCTTCACGGAGATCCAGGTAATTTAGAATGATAGTTTCTTCGACAGAATTTGTTTCAGTTGATTAGACATCCAACGAAGATACTAGAATTTTAAACGGTGTCTTAATTAATTGTTATTAAAGATATCTAGGATCATGAAACTAATATGTTCGTTCCAACTGATACGAAGGATCGGATATCTGTGGATATTAATATAAGAAGATTGTTCGTAGGGCATTTTACATTCCATCTGACAAATATTCTCACGATGCATCCCATTTTATTGTAAATTTACTACGTTACACGTCATTGAAGCTTTATGTGACACACTAATCGCCAAATATAAGTACACTGTACAATCGGGAGAAGACATTAAATAATTTATTATATTATATACATATTGTGCTGTTGATATTTTTCTTATTAACGAAAAATTAACTGTGGAGGAAACATTTTTAATTTTCGAAGCTGCTAACGAAGCGACAACCGAGCCAAAAAAGGGGAAAGAACTAAAAAATACATAATACTATAAAAATATATCAGCAGTTTAATTAGACTGCGAATTTTTATGCATTTATAGAAAATTTAGAAGTGCAAAAATGCACATAATGCATGTAATATGCAAACGCAATATAAAACATTCAAAATACAATATTCCTTATAAGATTTAATATACAACTTTTGGTCATTAAATTAAAACCAGTCATAATTTCCAATACCCTGCAAGTTTTCAGTAAAACTGAAGAATCTGAATGCAATTTAATAATAAATTTTATTAACTATTAAAGTCCACACATGCATACACAGTATATAAGTTTAAAGTACACATAGTATTCACGCATACGTATCAATAATTATTGTTTCTCTTTCGTTAAAGCATACAAGCACCTTATCCTATCACACATTTTCATTTCAATTTCTTTTCATAATACGAGATAATACAGTTTTAAAAATCCAAATGAATCATTTTCAATGTTTAACTATTCGTTACTCTCGAATAATCACTCTCACATATGTACTCTGTAATAATAAATAATAAAATATTATTATAATAATATTATTTACTAATACTTTAATAGTTAATATAAAACTTGTAATTAGATTTCGTTCGAATCTTTCAATTTTACTGAAAACATGTAAAATGTCGAAAATAGGTGATCCTAAATCAATAACCAGAGGCTGTATAAATTAATTTTCTATCTAAGTTCAATTTTTTTGAATTCTCTTCATAAAAATATAAAATTGCATAAAAATCCACATTATATATCACATAATATCCAAGTCGATATTTCATTTCTATCCATCAGCCAGAAGATCTCTTAGAAGTTCCAGTTTATTTTACTTGTCCAAGGTAAACCAACCGTGTAAGCATTTTGGCACAGGGCCAGGAGTGTCGAAGATGGCTCTTGCGATTTCTGTGAGAGTCACGCCGTCTAGAATCAGCAATCCAACGCGTGTCTCTTTATCAGACCACACGATAGAACTAAGAACCACACCATCGTCTTCGTTCTGAAATATTGCAAGTTAATAGTTTATTTTATTTGATTACTAAATATTTATTCAATAATTTATTAAATATGCAGCTAATAATTTATTTAATTTATTATTTATTAAATTAACACTTTATTTTAATTAATAATTTCAGTCATTTATTTTAACAGTTTTAGTAAATAAAATGATTTATAAATAATTATTTTAGTAAAATAGTATTTATGAATTATTGCTTGGTTCTTATTGGGTTAATTTTTAATATACTTGTAAAGAAATGTATCTTCTTTTTAACACTTATTCACGTGATCTCAAGAGAAACAGGACAGGAAAGTAAAATACTTTTATCTTCATATTATCAATCAATTTGAGACACGTGATCATTTACTGTAGCATATCTTTTTTCCATTCCTCTAACACATTCGAGACTGAAAAAATAGTCCCTGAAATAATCGGTGATATTTTTTCGTCTATGATAAGATCAATAGCAATTAAATTCTTGAAATACGATAAGTATTCTTTGACATAACTTTTGTCAGAAAGATGATAAGATTGCAATATTTATGTAAATTTAAATTTTTATCGGTCTCGAATGTGTTAAACATCATAGAAATCAAAAATTTCAGAAATTTAGATCTCTTTTAAAATACCTTTCCATTAGGATCTGGCACAAAAATCGGTTCACTCGGATAAACGTTTTTCTCGCACCAAGTTCTCCTTGTTTTTTCCAAGATATCCACCTTGATAATCTATAAAATAATATTTTTTATGTTGTAACATGATTGAAATAAATTAAAATACAACTAGTGAAATTGGAGAATAAATACCGTTCCGGGATTATCCAAGTCCACATCGCTAGAAATAGCGTAAAAGTAACGATATTCTCTTCCAAGACAGCACTCGTAATTAAGACGTGGCGTTTCACAGCCCAAATCGCAAAGAAGTTCGGGTTTCACGAAAATATCACCGTTAGCGAGTTTATGAGCGGTTGCTTTTCGCTGTAGAATATTTTTGTAATCGTTCTTCTTGCCTTTGTTAGCCCTGTCATCATTCACCGACGTTTTAACAAATTCTGAACCAGATTTACTATGACGTTTGACAGAATCATCTTGAAAAGATTCCAGGCCTTGGTTAACCGTTTTTGTGGTAATTAAATTATATTCTAATGGCACGTCCGATTGTGGACGTTTCATTGGTAATACGAACCGTAAAGGTCTGCCTCGAAACATTTTGGCATAGTCAGGATTCTTGTGTAAGTTCTGCAATCATTCAGAAATATTCGTGTTGATTCCACTTTCATCTTTTAATTAATTTTATTAAAATTATATATCACCTTCATTGCGTCGACAAATAGGCAATCTAACATCTTGGCATCGCGATAGCAGCAAATATCCAGTACCACGTAATCGCGATCACGTGTTTCGAATTGATTAATGATATGAAGATAAAAGAATGCCTCTGAAATAAACGTTCTCTCCAGTAGTCCTGTCTCTCTTGAAATCACGTGAATAAGAGTCTATATTGATAAAGATATATTTTTTAACACATTTGTTAATCCATTAAAGATTAATCCATTAAACAATAATTTATAAATTCAGTAAAATTATTAATTATAAATAAACTGAAATTACTAATTAAAATAAAATAAAATTTTACTAAACAGTAAATTTACTGAAATTATTTATAAATATTTCAATTTCGTGAAATTTAGAATCTAGCTGAAAGACATATGATAAAAAAGTTTTCAGCGAATTCCTGAAATTTTCCTTCATAGATACAATATTAAAAATTTGATGATCAAAATTGATTGAAAAAAATTATAAATGAATTGAGGAAATGTTCTTGAAGGTTTCACTTACATTTTCGTTCTCGTACCATTTCAAAGCTGCATGCATTGGTTGTTGTCTCATCTTACAGGATACAACGGTAGTTAGAGACACTGATAATGGTTGTTCCACAATGATGAAATAGTTTTCAGTGATACCAAATGTGTGCATGTAAGAAGGGTTCAAGAACCATCGAGACGGAATACTGGCGATGATAGTGGCTTGGTCGAACATAGACAATTCTTTCTCTTCTCCTGAATCATCTGATGAAATGAATTATCAACAAATTATGCAATACTTGAAATATTGGAATGATTGGATACAAGCTTAGAATCATTCTAACCAATAATCAATTGATTAGGCGAAAAGCACACGATATTATACAGAGGTCCTCTTGGTGTTACGCTCAGTCCTAAATTATAAACGGTGCCATCGTTCATTATATGAGGGTGAGATGTGTGGTTTACGATTCCAACGTAATCTGACACGTTCACCTACGACCACAAAATTAAATAAAATTATGATATGTATCATTTAATTTATTATAAATAATCACGGTTTAATCATTTAATCAATCGCGAAACGTGATTATTATACGATTGTGAAGTAAACTATCAAATAATGAATAAATAATACCTTGCTTGTAGTTTCCAAAGTTTTTGGATCGATACGATGAATCACTGCCGTTTCCGCGAATGTATAATATTCATCACCAAAAGGATATACAGATATCATAGAATTATCCGAATCATCTTCAGGTTTGAATAGTGCTGCAACTCTAAAAAGAAGCTTATTAATTTCTATATTAAAATAACTGATTAAAAATAATTAGTAAATATATCTAAATATAATATTAAATTACGTACAAAAATTATGGTATAAAAATTCAATAGTATAATTCATTTTAGTCACCTTTGAAAAATACTTTTGCAAGGATCTGGTACTGCTTTCGTGCCAAATTCAGTGACCACTATCCTTTGAGCCGCATTGTTTTTTTTGTATACGTCCGTTTGGACGAATCTGCATTGATAGGTCACTTTCCCATTAGCAATTGCGAATCTATTATTTTTCAACAAAATATAGACAATTATTTAAATCATACTAAAAAAAATTCCAGTTTCCATATATTTGTATGAATGTAACGTGGGGCTTCCGAAACTATGATCGATAATAATCAGCATTTTCAAGGTTTAAGTATTCAAGGTATTGAAGTAGAAAAATTGAATATGAAATACTTAAAACTAATTTAAAATAGATATACTTAATCGATATACTTAAAATAAGGATAAGGACAGTTTAAAATAAATATAGTTTGAAATAAAGATTTAAAATTTAGATTTGAACGAAGATAAAGATACTTAAGATAAGTGTGTATAAGCATTCTTAACTTATTAAGAAAAGTATTGATATAACAAAATAAAGATCTAAAAGAAGATACTATTATATCTCAATCTACTAATATTTCTTCTATCATAGACATACCGATGTAATAAGGCTGAACTATCAAACAGGTGATTAAAACTATATTTTCCCACTTGCAAGCTACCCGGCCCGTTCCTCAACAACGTTCCTCTGAGCCAACTTGGTATCCTCCCTGTCATTTCGCCAATTATGGGTTCAATTACTTCCTGCTCGCAGGATCTCATCCACACGGACGCGTCACAGTTCGGAAAATAATTCACCTTCTCTTCTTCCGATTCATTCTCCTTAACTTTCAAACAGTCTTCAACATCATCTAACTAGCAGTGAGAATTACATCAGATGAAGTTTTTATTCCCTTTAGAATAGAGATGATAGATAAGAGACGATAATTCGAAAGCAATAGAATTTTAACTTCGAAATATAGAAATTTTATACTTGATGGTTAAACTCGACACTTATCTATCACATTGAAAATATTTATCAAAGATGCTTTCAGATTTATTTGCTTAAGAAATTAATATAAAAATATTTTTCATGTAATCTACGCATTCTAGAAGCATCAAAACGGAGCAACTACCTTAAATAATATCGAATCTTGGTATGAAATAATTATTTTACAGAGCTCACTCGACTTACTCGAAACGAAGTCTTCGACAATTTTATTCGTTTTCCATGCAACAGATCATCAAGTTCGTGTAGTTTCACCGATGAAAAATCATTTTCCGATCGCGATTTATTAAAAGCAACCGATTTCATGATAACGTTCGTAGATACTAGACAACTTGACGAGACATAAATGGCCAATTGTAAGAGCGTGCATGAACTGTTTTTCACGGTCACGATTCCTGTTAATTAATTTTGCGAGGCGTGTATAGACAGTACGGTATTACGTCTCATCCTCTTCGTTTTCGTCAGTTGTTTCCCTCGTCAACGGTACCAGAATCGCTGACAGAATTTGATAGACTCGTTTATGGGTAAAATCCATCGTTTCTCTCGGGGCTTCGACGAACGAATGACATTGTTCTGGTAATCTGCTGACCTTAAAATGTAGTTTCTACCGTGATCCAATTATCAGCACCGGTTGCTCGAAGCCCCGGTAATTAATCACGTGTATTTCACCCTTGTGCAACCCTTTGGCACACGTGGTTAATTGACAGTCAGTTACCAATAGAAAATTTATCATTACGATTTATTTCAGAATTAAAGAGGAACGACTTATAAAATCAAAAGAAATGTACTTCAATTTTATTTATTTATTTATTTAGAGATATATATTTTTATCAATTAAGCGGATAAAGTTGATGTTTTTGTTATTGATGAATATATATGACGGTAAAGTAGGTTCCACAATTTCCCGCTAGATGGCAATCGAGCTGAAGTTCATGTTACGTGTGATTTTTTTTTTAAATTAGTACAAATTAACGATAATTTATATGGAGGAGCTCGTGTACACGTTGACGTAATTAGGATGAGTAAGAATGAGTAAGAATAGAATTTTCTTTCAATTTTTGGTAACTATTCCCCTCTATTTAGAAGTAATCGTTTGATAGATTAGTTAGACATTTTTCATCGAGAAAGTTTTCTTTTTCGAATGGAAAAGAAATTCAAGAAAACGTTCCAGTCGTACGCAATATATCATGTACACGTTTGATTTATGTTAAGTCATAAATGAAACTACTATCATTTTCAATTTTGTCATACTAATTGCAACTCTAATTTTTCATTATCTCTATTATTGTGTTTTTATAATTATAACCTTCAATTAACAGATACGACATATACAATGATGAAACCAGCAGTGAAGGTATTTATCATGGACCTAGAAATATAGTATAACGTCGTGAGCTGAAGTTATTTCTGGACAAGAGTAAATTGTGCCTAATTTTTAATAGAAAGTACTCAACACATGTGCAATCGTATTATATTTATCATCAGTCATAAAACATCAGTAATATTTATCAAGTCAGGCATCATTTCATAAGATAAACTATGAACATTCAAAAAGAAAAATGGCGTCGTACAGTTATTATTTGTAATGAAAAATTATTTTAATACAAAAATCTTTTTTGTTTTTTAATTTAAGATACTTCATATCAATATCTTTTTTTTAATTAATGCTAAAACAGCTGATAAAATTTAAAAAATAATTTTTTTTAAATAAAAATTATAGTTATATAAAATTATTAAATAATTTGTACTAATGGCATGGAGCATGCGCACAAATGTAACCAATCGAATTTAAGCATATCCCTTCCGTTTAAATTGAGTTTCATTTTCGTCGTTTATAAATTAAGCTTGTGTTACGTTTCTGTATTCTTAGATCCATGGTCTAATTTATCGTGAACGAGTTAATTGTAAGATACACGCAATTGGCCTGATGCAACCATCTTTTTCAACAGGTAATAACGTCTCTATTACCGGAAACAAGGTGGCGATGCTGCGGTCCAGAATAGATGGCTTCTCTACAACGGTTGAGTTCCGAAGGAAGCCTGACATCCCGCGTCGCTCTTCTGTGGCAAACTTCGAGAAAATATTGTCCAGTTGGCTAAACGCTCGATCGTTTTGTTATTTTTGGCCACGGGCCAATATTATTCGCAGAACTTGTTGCGATTGTCCACCAGAGATGCCAGCTGACTTATTCTCAAGACGTTCGTGCAAAAATCTTTTACTTTCTGGTATATTTCTTACTGTTCAATTATTGATTTTTGATATTGCAAATGGCAGTCAAACTTCGATTAGAAATTTATGTATAATACACTTTATAAGAATAGCTAATCTATTAATATTAATATTAATATCTTTGTCTACCATTGTAAATTCTTAATTCATTTATTGCTTGACATGTATTCTTTTAGGAATATTGAGAAGAGAGATGATTTTTCTTACGATTTGAATTGCTAGCCAAGAAGCAGTAATGAAGCGACTGACATTCTAACTCATCACATATCGTAGAGTTAATTTATTCCGTGACCATCTTTTCAATATCACTAGTCGTTTTTCTCAGAAATTAGCATTCTATGCATATGCATGTAGTCGCATATGCTTGCAGTCTTGTCCGCAGAAACATCGGTACAAATGCGGTACAATCGTAGGTTGTAGGTTAATAATGTTAAAATCCTTTTTTATCATGGATCGAAACTTAGATCAATTCTAAGGCTAAATTTATTGAAGAGTATCTATTTTGGTGATAAGAACATACTTAACCGTGCATCATTGAACAACTAAAAATATGCTTAATATTTATCTGTAATTAATGTTACAAGATGGTTGTAATTAATCGTTGTGTGATCAACACCATAAAAAAAATTGGAACAGCCTTGATTCTTCTTTATCCGATTGTATTTTCTTTGCACTTGATTTTGCTTTCAGTTACACAGTAGTCATTAATTCAATAAACAAGGAAGATCTTGTGATATAGAAATCGTTTAAAAGAGGTTAAGGGATAAAGAGGTTGGATGTACCGAGGACAAGATAACGCGGATGATAACATATTATAATAATCGCCATTTCTCGGTCATTGCTATACTCCCGCGCAAGTTTAAGACACTTATGTATTGCATTAGAAAGTTTGAGAAGAAAGCGCAATGCTCAATCTGTTATGGAGTAGAATTTTGTCATAATAAATGTCTCATTAGAAATTTTATTATTAAACATATCACGAGTCGAAATCACGTTGTACATATTGGATAAAATTTTATATTTTACAATCAAGCATAATGATCAGCACAAAAAAATTACGAACGAAAATACACTTTCTCCAATGAAATTTATTTTACCAATGACGTCAATTAATAGAGATAAGCCAGTATAGATAAAGATATAATACTAAATAAATTATTATTTTTCAATTTGATTATTTTTTCATAATTATCATTATCAGTATACGCATGCATAAACACATAAAATGCTAATCTCTTTGATTCAAATATGAACATCTGGTGCATGTGTATATACATTATATCTATGTGTGAGTGTCATGTTTACAGGAACCAAGGTATCTGCAAGGGAAATTCGGTTCGCAGAAAATGCATAAAACTGACGAGTGTACGCACTATCTTGTTTTTCACATGCCAGCGTGCACGTTAACGAACACCAACCAGTGGGTCAAGCGTTCCGCGTGATACATAGGCTATTGGTCATACAAGTTCGCATCCAAGCAGCGATACGTGCAGCTCAGCGTGAAACGGTGCACACATGCTCGCACCACGTGCCAGTCACGTGCTCGGCGCAAGAGGTATGTCACGTGAACAGTTCGTACCCGCAAACAAAGGCAATAAAATCGCATTAGCGCGTCGTATGAACCAACTGTGTAGAAAGCCAACAAAACCGTCTCGAACTTTCATCGAATCTACTATTGGAAAATTATTGCATGACTATCGCGAGTCATCTTGCATCTCTGAAAATACGTATCGTGATCTTGCATATCTCCTTTCATCTCGTATTCCATAATCTGTAATCAAACATTGCTAGACATTTGTCTATGTCTCGTGTCAGTCATCATGAATCACACTTACTTTCCCTGTATTTCTCTATTTTATTTTTGAATTGAAAATAGTCGTCTATGCATACTAATACATACATATACGCGACGATTAACGCGCTTTCGCAAACGTATGCTCTGTAAACGTGGGTCAAGGCTAACAATAAGATAATAGCAATATCGACGTGATTTGATTTCACACTTACCTACCTCAAATTCTAAAACAAAAAGTGACACGTGTCTTAAAACAATTAAGTATCGTATATTTTACTGAAAAAATATCTGATCTTCATGATTCGAGAAAGAGGATTTAAAATTATAAATTTCTTCCGTGGTCAAAAGTTTTACGTAATACTGCCACCACCGTCACGCTATAATTCTTTAAACGTATTTCAACCACATTTCCCAATCCAGATGTTGATTACGTAATCTAGTTCCCAGTGCTGGTTGACTTTATTGATCAACACTTGCACACATGATAGACACATAACGAATGCAATTTTTCATTTTTTGCAGAAAATGTGCAGCTGTTGAGCAATATGATGAACTTTTATCAAAACAAGGACAAGATTCCAAAAGAAAGGAGGACAACTTAAGCCAGGTAAGACTATATTCAATTAAATATCAAGATAAACAGAGTTAGTTTAAAAAAGGAAGGTTTACATTAAGATGCTCCAATTAAAACATGTTAATATTTGAACTGCGATTTCTCAACGGCAGTAATTACTTCAAAAATACATATTCCAAGGATATTTTTATCGAATATATTATTTACATGGTATGCCATGTCTAATTGTTTTGCGTGCCACGTGTTATGAAATTGTTAAGTAAGATATCCTATAAAAAATATACTTCCTTTGGAAAACAGAAATCATCTGCCATCTATCATCCCAACGAAAATAATGAGCGTTAATTTTATTTTTAAATCATACAATCGTTTCTATCGAGAATGAACGTCAGAATTCACAATTACGTATCAATCCAATTTATCTTACAATTAGTCAGATCTGGCTGAATTATTTTGTCTTGAGATCGAAGAAAATAAACAACTGATGGTAATCAAGAAAACATTGTCTAACTTAAACCTTTCGCGAGCATGATGCACATCTATTTTAAGTTGCACTTTGAAATATGTATATTTCGTGATGCGCATTCTCGATGTTTACCTTCTTTGATAAAGAGTGCGCGAAAGAGCAGATTGTTGCATATTTATTGCAATGCATGTTAGTTGACAGTTGCATTGATAAAGATTATAATTATTATCATTATTGCGTTGCTTCAGTAGCAAGAACTCGTCGAATAAATATAAAAAATATAAAAATTCGTTATTGATAATATTGTTTACTACAAGAGTAAAATATTAGAATTAGTAAAGTATGAGAATCAGTGAAGTAGAATTTAAATCTTAGAATTCATTATAAAAGTAACCGATTCATCTAATAATTTGCATCATATTTTTATTCAAAAGTACTATAGCGCGATTAGATAGTATATATTATATATATATATATAATGTGTAAAGTACAAGGTTGATATTAGAATTGTAAGTTATAAAAGTTATAAATATTCTACGGCCTCCTTTTCCAACAGAAATGCAATATTTATGTAAATAAGATATTTTGTGTAATATAAAAAGCATATTAACATTTGCATCAGTATCATGATCATGAAGGACGCATCAGGGAATTCTCATACATCATTTGACATTTCATGCCATAACGCGTGAATGACTCTAACCGGAAAGCAGATCATGTGATAGAGTTTCCCGCATGATTCATTGCCTGTTTTGTTAAAAAGGTTCCCAAAACTATTGTATCATTGAAGACACATTTGGAACAATGTTCTTTGACTATAACGATTGCGAATATTTATGCATTTATGAGAAATTTAAAAATACGATATGCAAAAATATATAAAATATCAAATGTAGAGTGAATAAAGAAATGGAACTTCATATGTTTTATATATTCTTGCATACTTTATAAATTTCATTAATTTTCTAAATTTCTTATAAACATACAAAAATTCGTAGTCTAAATATAATATTTAGTAGCGGAAATAAATTTCTATTTAAGTTACATTTTCTTTACTTTGAAAACTTTAATTATTTTAATTTTGAATTTTTAAAATTTTAAAAGATCTTTAATATTTACTTTTAAACTTTACTTACTTTTGAAAATTTTAAATTACATAAAAATTCACTTTAGTAATGACCGAATTTAATTCGCAACTGTAGTAAATGAAAGAAAAAAAAAAACACAATCGATAATGCTGCTTAATCTATTCTTGAAAGAGCTGAAACAAATCAACCTAATGACTGACTTATCTATATCGATAATGTCCTATCGTTTCGAAAGGTAGACTTTGAGCAATATTGTGAATGTGAGGATCGACAACAGGTGATAAATCAATCCTTGTTTTATCATGTTAATGAAGCAGTATGGTAATCACACGTATCGTTGACGCATGACAAGTTAATTTAGTTAATTTACTTATTGTCTGATCGTATTTAGTTTTTGTAACACGAATTGCGTTATTTTACGTTTCCTACGCTCTGAGAATTTTATTTAATGAATCATACATTTAGATGGGACCTACATGGAACAAAAGGATACTTACAATAAGGTATGAGTATTGTATAAGTATTAATAAAAATATATAAAATATTAATTAAACTAGTGTAAGTATTAATAATCTATTAAATATTATATCAGTAACAGTTATCTATTCTAAAGTATATTTTACATTTATTTATTATTCTTGTCAATTGTAATTTTGATAAATATTCTTATACTTGCCTTTGTCCGTCTCATGATTTAACTATATTTTTCTTTCTATCGAGCATTGTCTATTGAAGTATTGGTTACAATCCAGAAAATTGAGGATTGAAAATAATATATTTCTAGTAATACAACCATTCAAAATTTAAACTTTCTTATTAATTCTTCTTATTAAATGTTAATCCACTCTAATGTAAACTATGAATCCTCAAAATGGACGATAATTAATAAAAAATTGTATCAAATATTTTATTGTGAGCTTTCTATAAAAAAAATTTATTATGACTCCGTCACAAATAATAATGGAATCGTCACGAATAATATTTAGAAATCTAGATATAAATATTCTGGAATACTAGAGAAATTTATCTTTAATAAAACCAATATTTATTAGAAGCTTTAGCTAGGTTTTTTCGAATACTAAATACTCAAATAGTCACTAGTTCTTTTGAGAACGTATATTTATTTAATTTCTTTAATAATTTAAATTATTAAATAGAAAAAAATTTTGAATCAAAACAGAGTCAAATCTTTGAATTAGATGAAAGTTTTAAATAAAAATTTAAGAACAATCTCTTCTTTTCTTCGGTTATTCTCAGTTATGCATATTACAAAGATATTTTATTATACTGTTGTCGGTAACGTCCCAGCGTTATCAATCATGTGCTTGAATAAAACGTCCGGGAGTAAAGAAAGCAAGACATCCGCTGCTGCATTTGCGATATCGATATCCTCCGTAATTCTTGATATGCATATTTATATCGAGCTTCTTTTTATGCTACTTATCAAAAGCACGCTGGTTGGTCATGAAAACTTGCTGGAGTTTTCTATTGACATTGTCTCTCGTCTAGGAAATATTTTATCCAAATATTTTCATCTATGCAAGAGAGCGGTGAATTGAATTTATCAACAAGAATTATCAAGCCTGAACTCGTTAATTAGCTCTATCAGCATAATAGTTGAGACATCCATAAAAGAAATACGTAAAAACTATATTTCTTCCGATGACTCTGACTGTTAGTTTAATGTAAGTTGTAATTGAGAACAGAGTTCATGTTCCTTGGGAGGTAGAATTAAACCGTCGATTAATTAAATGTTCCTTCATGTGTCGTTCAATTCTTTATTTCACTTTTCCTGTTTTATTGACTCTGTCACGTTCATTTTGTTCGATACTTGTTCACTCATTCTTATTATTATTTAATTTTTTCTTTGGTTAATTATTTAGAAATTATGAAGGATATGACAATATACCTAGATCGTTACAAATTCTATAATTTCGTCCTCAGTAGTTCTAGTGTTAATTACTGTTTGCTCTAATTTGAAGTATTAATTTTTCCTTTGGTTGAGAGATAATTTAAAAATTATGGCAATATAAATTTATATCTTCGATTCTGTAAGTTTTGATTTGGGACCATTGAGGTTAGAAAGGAATTAAATGCAAAAAATTAACAGAATTCGACTAATCTGCGCATCACCTCTATAAACGCATAAATTGATGTAGTATCTGAAATACTATTCCACTGGAAGGATAAGAATTTCTGTAAAATTAGAATTTTCTAATGTCTCGTCAGCTTACTGCTTACTTCTATTATTACCTCTATTCTTTTCCTTTTATATGGAATTTCTCCATATCTTATCTCGTCTAGTAGTTCATAATTTATGATAATATCAGAGATAATTTAGATTTCTT